TATCTTCAAAATCCTGCTAAGTTTCATAAAACCATCTGATCATTGTAATTCTAATAAGACTCCATCGAGATTAAATTACAATTATGATAATATACTCCCGGACACATATTTCGAGCCACTTTGCATTGTCAGTATTAAATATCCTTACCTTAAATAATGTTTGATTGATCAATAACTAATTCAAGTTTGAAACTGGTGTACTACTGGTGTGGTGTAACGTCATTTTCACAATGTTTTGCTGAAAATTTGAATTTGCGAAATCGGGAAAAACTCTTTCTTCAAAAAAAAAATTCAATAAAGCAAATTTTATTCTAGCACTTGAAAAATAAAAATGCAAGATGGCTCGATTTATGTGTCCGGGAGTGTATTTGGTGTTCTGCTAAAATCTAGTTGCAATGGTAGTTCAATAGTGTCAGTGGAATGGCAAGGATGGCATTCCTTCATTTAATCACCAAGAATCGATGTTGCCTTATATTAAATAAAACGTAATTCGCTTGTGATGGTTTGTTTCTTCAGTCAGAGTACAAAAATAAAAGACCCGATACAAAAGATTCCGCGCTTATAGCGCTTAAATACATTTCTTCCCGCCAAAACCGCCAAACGTCATCGAGGAATGGCTCTTTTGGCGGTATTGGCTATGACCAACAATAACTACCAAAAGATGACAACAGATGGCAGATTACAGGCAAAGCCTAATTACGACACAGTCCATGGCATTAAGAAATATTAATTGGCAATTCCGGTATAAAAGTAAAATGTCCTCTGTAATTCAAGTTTCTAAACAACAACGCAACTAAAAGCTTTGACTTAAATTATATGTAACAGTTTGCGAAAATGATACATTTCAATAAGTATATTTTGTTCGAGTATGATACAATATACAATGTAGTATGCAAAGTACGACCCGATCATGATTGCAACCTAACACTAAAACTCGATATTTACATGACTTAATAAAAGAAAAGATAAAGAAGTCCATTTGATGATATATACAATTTCATTCACCTGACGATCTCGATTACACGGCGATTTGCACTGTAAACGTTTTACGTTTTTTTTTTTCGATTCCCTGTATGATCAAGTTGGGAAATAAACTTTTTTAGATTGGTTTTAGTCTGAGTGTTGAGGGTAGTGACCCGGAATGAATTACTCCTTTTTTTATTAGTAATTTAGTACTCACAGTTTAGGTAACCAATAGTTTGAGCGCTGAATTTGAGACTATATTTGAATAAAGTATTTTAGACTACCGATATTTTCACTATACCTACCCTAAACTATTGTCAATTGAATTCGATTTTCGTAATTATAGCCTGAGCAAATATGAAAGAGAAAGCTGTCTTTCGTCTCTCTCACACAACCCTTACAAAAGGATCCCTTTATCTTTCGATACGATGTTTACTTCTAAGAAATAGTACAGTCCAATATCTGGACCGTATTGAACGTTTTGATTTGGCTGTGGGGAAATTCCTTTGTGATAAACAAATCCAGTTATGTACTTGTTGGAAACTGGCGCGGTGTGCTTCAAAGTTTCAAGATTGGCTCAAGTGTTCTGTGGATTTAGTGTAATTATTTCCTTGTATTTCTTTTCAAGTTTATAGCTGTCACTATATCATCACCATTAACCCTTTTTAGAAGTCTCACTGTTGGGCGCAGGTCTCCTCTCACGCTGGCCCAATGCTAGTTGGTAACTTTACACGTTTTCCAAGGATTGTGAATCTTCTTCAACGTGCAGGATTTATCACCATTTTCCTTCACCGAAAAGCCCATGGTAAATTACAAATTAATTTCGCACATAAATTCCGAAAAATCCAGCGAGCTCGTATTCGAAGCCACGGCTTGAGAAGTGGTAAGTCCAAATCATTAGGCTACTACGGCTTTCTTTTTGTGTCTCTATTATACGTAAGAGTGTAATCATGAGTACTTTTCATCAGCTGAAGTATGGAAGCATTTTTAACACTGCGGAATTCTTATTCCTTATCCCTATTGTGCTTAGAAAGGCTGATATTATTATTTTTTTATAATTATGATATTATACATTTTTATAATATATATGGTATGCGGCACGCCCGTCCCTAACAGTTGCAGTGCCATTAAGAGATTTTTTTTTATAATAATCGGGACGAACAAGTCGTGCACCTGAACAAATTGCAATGATCTTAGGGGCACTGCCATTGCGCCAGTCAACCTGAGACATAAGTCGACAAGTCCCATGTGCCTGTAATTTCACCAGCAACCAGCACCCAACTGTTACGGACAGGCGTGTAGCTTACTTGCCATCGGGCGCACGACTTGTTCATCCCGTCACTAGATGTTATAAAAATAAAATAACAAAGAAATATAAAAATAAGTCTTCTCAAGGGAATCTGCCTTATGAATGAGTAGTACAGTTTAATCGATATGATAATATGAAATGTAATTTTCTTACCTTTAAAACGAAGATTATTTGAGATTCTTCGTCTTTAGACAGAGAGTGCTAGATTGTACAAGCATTATAGCTGCAATAGGTAGCTGTTGCGACTCGTCCATATTGCGACATATGATCTCAGTAATTAAGTAGTATATTGGATATTTTATTTTGTTTGCAAGCATACATTGTAAATAAATTTATTTAAAAAAAATACAGTTGCGCGTTGCGCCAGTAACTGGCATACAAATATGAATGGCAAATATTATACTTTATTCGCATTTATTCCTAAAATCATATTACATTAATATATAACATTTTTTTAAATTGAATAATGTAAATTTTGAATTCAATTATTTTTTATGTGAAATTACTCCACTACTTTGTTATGATTATTAATACAAAGATCGAACACTCAGAAAAAAATCCTTCGATCCAGTAAATAGTACCAATGTTGACTTAGATGTTAAGTGTGAATAATATAATTAAAGAAAAATTATGATTTAATAAAAAAGATGAACGCATGTCAAAGTAATAAATATGTAGAAAGTCGCAGGTTTCAAATGTAAATATCAAAAAGTCATTTACATTATAAAAACAATTTGTCACAAGCAATTCAAGTAGTATTTTTTTAATTTTGTTTTTGAAATGACATAAATATTAATATGTCTTTTTATTTTTAACCGACTTCAAAAAAGGAGGAGGTTCTCAATTGTAAGTACAAATTTTAACCGAAAAGCTGCAATTTCTTTACTTTTCTGTTGAATGCTTAAGGCGGCTCTCAGAACTAAAAGGTGACTAAATAGTCAGTTATGTTAAGCTATTGACTGTACGGTATCCAAGTTGGTCGTACCGGAAAATTGAGCCCCGAACCAACTTCGTCTAACGCCCACCATACTAACTACTAGAACACCGAGGTCGGAATAGAAAAAAATTGTTAGGCCAATTTATATTGTACGAATTCATCTACTTGCTTTAGGCTTATTTATTTAGACGTCTCGTGGATAATTAATTATAAACGTACAATACCGCCAACACTTGTACCTTTAAGTATGATATGAAATAACGTGTTCCGGTTATATTTATTGTAATTGCAAATTTGACAGATGTATACCAACACATCGTACGGCTATTACAATAATGTTGTAACTCAAAGTATGCTAAATTCAAGATTATACTATTGTTAAACGTAAAATTTTATTCTCTACACTTCAATAAAACATTCGTTAAAATATTGTAAGAAATAGTTACTTTACTCTAAATGAGACAAACTTTCCGTGACCTAGTTCTGCGCAAAACAATCTTTATTCAAAAATATTAAATCCCTTTTAATTTTAAATATATTTAGCCAAATAGGCAATGTTTAGATGTCTGTAATAAATTTTAGCCTATACATAAAGTTTAATAATCTTTCACGGGAAGTTAGTAGTTAGTTTTTCATTGATTCTGAAAGAATACACTTTTTGAGTTGATACACTATTATATTCTGTCGCCGTTAGAATGAATGAATGGAGGCATGTGGCATGTTTTCAAAAATCGTGTTTTAAAATTGTCGTAATAAGTAAAAAGAGATCGATCAGTCACTATTGTTATTTTTTTCCTAGGTAGAGAAGGTATGAAGTTACCTCAAGAGAAAAGTAGATATGTTTTTAATTTCATTTTTTTAAACTTTACTTTCTCGGTTTTGAGTTTTTGTCACGTGTCCTTTCAACTAACAAAGCAGTATTAACAACACGATATATCACTGCGGCTCCGGTATTTTTTTAACCACAGACGCTAAAAGAAGAGAGTTATAAATTTGAAGCCTTTTGTATCTATCTGTGTGCTTGTTTGAAACGTTGTAGCTCCCAAAGGGATGGACAAATCTCTAAGCGGTATTTTTATTTGAACGCCAATTTAATCTGGATGGTTCTTACTGTTTATTGAACATCTGTTCAGCTGTTTAAAGAACATTAGCTCTACTCCTAGTTATAGTAGGATTCAAAGTAATTTACTTCCAATTCCTGTCGACACGAAATTTGTTATACAATGGCATTGCACCCGGTGGCATTACAACAATATGGTAACTTTGATTCTGCAACCAAGACTGTTAGACTACGTAACTTTTCAACTACCTACAGTAGAATTATAATAATGTAATATTATTATGTCTTTATTATCTTTAATTATAAAATTATCTCGATAGCTTTATTAATTTTTAGGTGTAGGCACACTGTTTCGTATATTTTTATTTATCTATGTGCTTCTAACAGATTGACTGCATGTCTGCAAGTCGAAACTGATTTTATGCAGCCGAGATCGACTGCAGTAGAACTAAGTCAATAACGTAGTAAAAGTAAAAAAATTCGTGAGGTTACTACCAGCACAGGTTATTACCAGCGGACCTCACGAATTTTTCTGTGTGCTAGTTATCTGATGTTTGTATTTGGTTTTTCAACTTTTAGCCGTAGCGCCATCTATGAGAAATCTATGAAAGTATTTCGTCACCCAGTATAGGTAACTTTACAGCTACCAACCCTGGCTAGGGATGTCACTATTAACTGTATTTAAATTTGTATTGAATTAATATTCAATAATTCGTTTTTCATTGTTCCAGGTCGCAACACCGTCTACGAGCGACATGACGGACGGGCGCGACCGGTGTCGCGCGCCGCCGCAGCCGGAACCGCCGCCGCACCGTGTGCGAGCAGCCGATCTCTACCCGCGACTTAGGCCGCATTATGACGAGCCTGATCTCGACATCGGCTTCACCCCTATTTGTGGCGAGTTCGTACAGGTACGTCTACGTCTACATTATCTACGTCTGTGATATGTGATTCGCGTTTTTATGTACATTTATTTAGTAAAAATTTTGTGACTAATCTCTCCCTGATGACGAAACAAAATGAGACATTTTTGTGGAATAAGTTATGGAGTATCATGACATATCCACAAATTGTATATTGACACCCCAAATGTTGACATGGTGAATAACTACACTACCGGACACGTATTACGACAGACATAGCATTTTTATTACAATTATAAAAATATTATTATCATTTTAAGTTTTTATTGAATGCCACGATGTTTTACTGCCATAATATTCAATTATTTTTTTGTGAAATTACTCCACTAGTGTGTTATAATTATTAAAACAAAGATCGAAACACAGAAAAATACATTCGATCCGGCTGGATTTAAACCAGCGGGTGCTGGCAATTCCAGTCCAGCAATTCGTGCTAGAGGCTCTGCCAATTAGGCCACGGAACGGACCAGCAGACCTTACCAATTTTTCTATAAGCTTGATGCAGATCTTTGTTCTTGGTTTTTAAGGACTTTTTTGCCGTAACGCCGTCTGTGAGAAAAAATATATCATCAATATTAATATAGGTAGGATAATAAAAATATTAATATTATCGAAGAAAAGGATCCCGGGTTTAAAAATTCAAATTTTACCGGTTTCAAAATTTTTATATTTTACTTTTTGATGTATCAAACATTGTTTAAGCCAGGCTTTTTAATATTAAAAATGCTATGTGGCTCTACGTGCGCATTACAACAATGCGTTAAGGGTGCTGATGGGCTGCTTCGCTGCTGCAGCGCATAAGGTACGTTTTGCAGCAGTAGAGCTCCTTGTGAAAGAGTTCGTCCAATGTAGTACTGCCACCTTACCTATTTCTGCCACCAAGTAGTAATGTCAGCATTACTGTGTTCCGGATTTGAAGGGTAAGGATGCTGGTGAAATTAGAAGCACACGGGACTTGTCGACTTGTGTCCCAGTGTGACGAGCGCAGTGGCGGTGCCCCTCAGATCTTTGCGAATTTATGCTCTGAGTGGCACTTTAACCACAGAAGACTCGACACCTTTTCATCTCGTACACATCTCCGCACAGCACACTCGCATAGATTCTTTTGCTTTCTTATAATCCTTTACTTTAAATTAAATTCTACTTTGCATTATTTCGCCATGAATAAAATAGAATGTAAAAAGATCGTCAAATTGTGGCTTAAGAGTAAAACTTACAATGAAACGGGGGGCTGGCTGGAAGTTATTTCATAATTATTTTTATATAGGTAACCATTAAATTATAACTACTAATTATATTATTGTTAAATATAGAAAATCTATTTTTAAGCTGGAATATAAAGAAATCTGCCCAAAATGATGCCTAAAATACAGGTTACACATTTAGGCATTTAGGCATAGCAATTACACATTAGGTTCTAATATTAAAATGTATAGCTGCATGAAGAACTATATATATATATTATTATTAGATTCCCTTCATAATGCTTATTTCAATACTATAATAGCTTTATTTACATTTGTTTTACTTGTATAGTATTATATTGAAATAAATTTATCTTTATCTTTAACATGTATTAATAGGCGACTTAGGCTCAACTCACACTAGCGCAGATTCGAAGCGTCACGACGCGTCATGTTTTTCGCCTATAGCATATTCATCTCTATTTTCCGATTATTAAAGTACCTACCAATTAGTGTTATGCAAATATGGAATTAGGTAAGGTTTCGTGAGTCGCTGTGCGTTACTTGCGCGCAGTGCCGCGTCAGACGCCGACCACACTGTGATCCGGGCGCACTAATGCAAGCTTCGTCGTCACCCGACGACGCGTGTCGCAATGCATTGTGGTTAAAAAACAGGACGCAACGCGACGCTTCGACTCTGCTCCAGTGTGAGTTGAGCCTTAGGTGTAGCAAATGGAATATTCTGCGTTCTAAATGCGGGTACTCATGCAAGTGCACGCGAAAACCACGGGACTAAAACCACTAAATTCCAAACAGCTATCAGCTGAGTGCGATGACCCCGTAACAACTAGTGTTATCTATTACATTACTAATTAACTATTGCAATGCACGCTTTGGATATTGTATAAGAAGTCAATGACTTGGCTTTGTCTTTATTTTCTGGGTTATTTCTGTTGTTCACTTAATTACGATCAGAATTGTTATAGCTCTGTTATTTAAGCTGGAGCTGAATATTGTTATTCATATTGGTATGACTGCCATACCCATTCTAAAATTGAAATTTCAAATCCACGCATCAATAATCTCAGTACAGAGTACTAAAAAACCGACCTCAAAAGTACGTGGAATTACGTCTGTTTGCTAAGTTTTATTGAAATATCCCCTAGTTCGCCACTATACAGGACTTGACACTGGAGATAATAAAAATCGGTTCTCACTACTCAAAGTATATTGAGAGAAAAACGCCTTGAATTGGAGAAATAGCAAAATCAACCATTAAAGTAATTGCTCCTAAATTAAAGTTAGGCGCTATTTATAAAAATTTTTCTTCATGCGTGAACAGCCACCCTTCGAGGTGTATGATTTTCTTCAAAATGAAATGGGACACTATGGAAGTACCCCCTTTCCAACAAAAAAAGAATCATGAAAATCGATTCACAAATACCGGAGTTATCGCGTAACATATAAACAAAATAAAAAAAAGAACGTACAGTCGAATTGAGAACCTCCTCCTTTTTTGAAGTCGGTTAAAAATGTCTAGGTATCAATCACGTATTTGGCAATTACTGAAAATTATTTTTCTTTTCATAAAAAAAAATTAACACCAACGGTTTTTTTATCAAAAAATAATTAAATTAATAATTTCATTTCAAATAATTAATTTTTTTATTGAATGTCAAAATGTCTCTACGCGGCCTCGGACTGCAAGGTCAAGGTAGCAACGTACTATTCATGATCAATATAGTCCTAAAGTATCGACAAGATAAGAAGAAGTTTTGGATGTCAGAATGTTTCACCAACATGTTATTCAATTATTGGTTTGTGAAATTACTCCACTAGTTTGTTATGATTATCAATACAAAGATCGAACATTTAGAAAAAAAATTAATTAATAGGCTAATCAAATATTTTTTAATAATTTGGTTGACCCCTAGACACTTTTGACGTATGTGTAAGTCTCATTAAGGTATATTACTGGTCGCCAAAGTTCCTTGCCGGGCGCCGGCATTGTGATATACAAGTTGTGATCATTTTTGTAACATCAATACTGCCCTGCATAGCCGAGAGGCGCAAACTCTGAGATACGCCCTTTTAGTTTTTTTTTTCATTGATATAAAACATTATTGAGTGGTAAATTATTGAATTTTTTTATTGAATTGAACTGACTCCGTGGCCGAACGGTTACCATGCCGGACTGCCACGCAGAAGTCCCAGACTCGATTCCCGGGCCGGGAGAAATACTTGTATGGCCTACATTTATTTCTATGTGTGTGTCCATGGCCCCCGCGACACAGGGTGCGTTTTATTGGTATAAAATGCTATTGAATAGTTTCTATAGCTATAATAATTTTGCATCGAATGGTATAATACAAATAGCGCTGTCTAACTTAAAACTGTTTAAAAAAACACTAAGAATATTTTTATGTCCCAATTTTTTGAACCTTTATAATCAAAATAGCGGTATCTCAAAAAATAGGTATATTATGATACAATTTATGGATAATTTAGTTATGTCAAGAAATCTTTTGGTCAAAAATACGAATAAATAAGCTTTAACATTTTCAAAAAGATTGATTCTTGAAGGTGCGAAAATACAATTTACAAAAAGCCGATTATCTCTAAACTTACTCCGATTGAGATAGCGCTTTTCGGCTTATCTATATTGTTATATTCATTATTACTTTTTTACATTAAAGCGCGACTTCGATTTCCGTTTTCGAGCTCTCTTGTAAAATTTTGTAGTAAAGCACTTACTAATTTTCGTTATGGGGCAGCCGAGTAGTGCCGCGAAGATTTTGTACACATGTTTTCATAATTCATTGTTTGGTTAGGTAGTATTTTCATATATCTATTTGGATTTTTTGAAGTGTTTTTATAGATATTGTTTTTTCTAATTGGATTATTCTGACATGTTCAATAATTATCAAAGCACCTAAAATAAACGGATTTAAAATATTACTCCATAATTTTAGCCTGCATGCAAAATCTCGCGTACATTTTAAAAATAAATCTTCCGTCATGTTTACTTATAGCGAAGGAGATAGATGCACTGAACTATTATTAAGTTAATTTAAACAAGGCATTTAAACAAGTTTACGTGAGCAAATTCTAGTAATTTGTGAATAATGCAACACCCTCGATAACTGAAAATAAATTAGATAATTAAATGAACCTTAAAACTAATTAAATACTACTTAATTTCTACCTTTTTAGTCTGAAATACCAGGCGCACATAACGAACCAACAACTCTTTTTCAGTGGGTCGGCAGAACAGCTGACGGCGGCACTGTGGCGATGTCAAACTACCGTCTCCACGCGCAGCCGCGACGGCGCAACGGGCCCGGGGTGTCGGTACCCCTGCGCCTCATTGACGCCGTCGAGATACGTGACCTACTGCATTTGGTCGTCTTGTGCAAGCATGGACGACAACTTAAGTAAGTATGCTGATTGCTTATGGTGTCCTGGTACTTTTTATAAGGCTAATGAAAGCACCGTGATTATGAGTCCTTATGACTTAATATTCAAGTCCATCCCTATCAATATTGTAAGATACATTCACTACAAAAGTTTACCAAAATACTCAAACAATTTAAATAAAAGAAACAAGTGAAAACAAGTCACGTGACTACACATTTCTTTGATAACTTCTTTGTTGCCAAACGAGAAATTACGTCAATACATTGATAACAACAGCCTGCGCTCATAATTAAAGAATATTGGCTGATAAACGCCATAGTAACTCCAGATATCAACTATGCAATAGAATGTGGAATTTTTCGTTGAATAACAATTCTTGTTTGAAAATACAATAAATGTAGAGAAAACAAATTCAGAAAATAGGCGTTAGGCGTCTAGCTAGGTATTATATTGCAGCTTTATTGCGCTTGTTAACTAAAAACTGCCAAAGTTAGATTATGGTAAATTCTCTTCTTCTGGATATGGGTTTGTACTCTATTACGCACTTGGCTCCAAGTCTGCTACTTTAAAATCATCTCAGTTGTTTGTCGATGGCTGAATTTTGTACGTTTGATATTCAGTTAAAGTTTCAGTTATCGCAGCTATCGAGCCACTATTCAACTGCCATTGTATTTATTTTTTCGGTATTCTGCTCTTCAATGGCATGTCCATGACACGTCGATGGCGTAATATATTAATATTACATATTTAGTTTGAAGACCAGTAATATAAGATATACTGGCCAGTGGACTCAAGAAGACTTGAGGCCCTGGCGAATGAAAATATGATATAGATATTTCAGCTATCCTAGTTGTATACTTGTTTTATTTTCTCGCATAAATATTGATTGAGGTAATAACTTACCATCATTGGTCATATATTAGTAGAATTCACTCTTCGGCTTTATATGAAATGTAGGATAACATTTGTCAAACCTTTTGCAGGTGCACATTTAACACCGGAGACCAATGCGTAGAGTGGTGGCGTCGACTAAACACAGCCCTGGCACCTATCGGTTCTATACAAGAAACATTCGCCGCTGCGTACGCGGCGTGGGCCAAAGAACAGCCCCCTGCGTCAGTCCATAGAGCGCTCATGAGGGCATCGCACGCTCCTCAAAGACATTGGTTCGGACCCGAGGTTAGTTCTTGTAATGTTCTGACCGCCTGGTAATTTAATATCTCTAAAAATATGATTGGGAATTCGTAAATGCTTCCTCAACTTTCTCATTCTCTTGAAATACTCAAGGAAAGTCTTAGATTTCTTTACCGCTGGCTGTATCGTGCAGTACCTTCAATTTGCAATTTGATTACGATAGGTTGAACGAGAAGAAGTTCACCAACCTGGAATTTGTTTAATTATTCAAGTAACGTTTGTTAATCCTTTCTAGGTGGAACGGCTAGGCTTTACGACAAAAGGCGCATGGCGCGTAACGGCGGCCAACGCTGAATACAAGCTGTGCCCGTCATACCCACCGCTACTTGTCGTGCCTGCCTCCATCGGGGACGAGGATCTCGACTCTGTCGCTAGGTAACTATATAGTCTCTTGTCGCGTCCAGTTTTCTTGGATGACCAGCGCCTAGGCTCCACAGATGACTAGCGGAGTGACTAGTCCAAAGACTAACTCACTAGATTGACAGAAATTCAAAATTAGACCGACTTTCTTTTGGATAAAAGACAATAATCTTGACTAAGCCTTTGACGAGAGAAGAAGACTCCTACAGGCTGTCCTACATTTTGTAAAGATATAGAGAACACCTCTTTTTCTTCTAGTAAGGTCACTTCTATGATAACTAATTGTACTGTTGTATGATAACTATTGTAGTCTGTAGAAGATAGTGCACGTTGCTGAATCCTAATTAGGCCAGCGTGTCAGGCTGCGGCCTTAACTCTCTGGTTAGGAAAGGCTCATATGAAATTAGATAAAAAATGTAATTTGCATTCCAGATTCCGTGCGATGCGCCGTGTTCCAGCAGTTGTATGGCGTCACCGCAGCAACGGCGCCGTGATAGCGCGCTCGTCGCAGCCGGAAGTAGGCTGGCTCGGTTGGCGCTCCAGCGAAGACGAACGGCTATTGGCTGCTTTCGTCAGCGCTTGTAATTCCGACCGGGGCCTGCAACCGGCTACTACTAACAAGGTATGTGATCCTGATACCTTATTTTCGTTATGTATATTCAATGTTGAATATTGAGTCTAGAGTTACCAGCCGTACGGATTTGTCCGAACGTGTCCGGTTTTTTGACATTCTGTCCGTATTGTTCGGTTTAGGGTAACAATTTTCAGCATAAAAAGTCAAATATGCACCTCGCAATTCTGTAGACTCTTGACTTACTAAGGTGGATAACAATAGGATTATCATTAAAAAAGAGACAACAAAACTAGAGATACTTGTCCCCCCCGACTTCATTCCGCTACGTTATCTGCCGCGCTAATACGACGGTTCCATAATCTTTTTTAGATATGTTTCAATACAGTAGCTAAAGAAGGTCTATTCAAGTTTCGGAATGGTAAGCCCAGACATATACATATACATAAGACGTAAAATTCGAACTGTACTCCATTACGTATTTCACCTGCGAGTTTATTATTAGTTTTATTATTATTCATCAGATTTTACTTACATACAAAAATGAATAGATTTAAATGGATTGTTCTAAACGGTAATAACTCTGTGCAGCACGGGGATGAGTGTCGTCGCGGAGAACACTCACGCTTGAACTGATTATTTCAAATACAGTCGTGGACGCTTATTGTGTCGTTGAACGACTGTCGTGTCTAACTGTTCCCACTAGATCGTGGCGACACTTTATTGGTTCACAGCAACCGCCTTATTCTTTGCACGACAGAATCGTTTAAAGCTCCGATTATCTGTCGTCACATTTTTATCGTGACGTTTATTTTACGTCAGACGTTGTCGTTTTAGCTCTCTCGATTGTCACGACAGTCTGTCGTCGTAACGTCAAAAAAGTTGTAAACGACAGTTAATCGTATATAATTATGTGAACAACTTCATTTAAATATACAAGCCGCGACACATTAAACTACACGACTATCTGTCGTCACGACATTATGGGAATGCGTCCTTACGGAGCAGCCATATGGATAGACGATTTGCTTACCACCAGACGCACGACCTGTTTGCCCCATCATTTGATTCATATAAATATATTAAAAAAGTGTATTTTAATTTGACCGAAATACCTTTCACTTGTTTGCAGAACTTAAAACTTTTAATAGTAGACGCGCGGTCATACGCGTCAGCAGTTACCAACCGCGCCCGTGGCGGCGGGTGTGAGTGCCAGCAGTACTACCCAGCCGCGGACATACAGTTCATGTGCCTGCCCAACATACATCACGTGCGAAGATCCTTTCAACAGATAAGGGCTCTGGCTGCTGAGTCCAGCGACCAAACAAAGTGAGTAAATCTTTAGCGATGTTATGTTGTCCTGGTACCTGAGTTGTATCCAAGGTTTTTCTGTGGCATTGAAGCAAATTGTTCACATTGCTTAATAACCGCAGCCGTTGTTGCCTTTATAGATGTTATGTTGCTCTGGTACTTATACATAAAATTTTATACAATAATAATAATATAATGTCCCAGACCACCACACAAATTATCTGGTCTCTCTCTGTACTCATTCAGAATTCACTCTGGGACACTTATTTAGAAAATTTCATTTCCCAAATTGATCCTATCAGAAATCGATCCCGGGGCCTCCTCATGCAACGCCCATAGTATTTATTAACCGTTGGGCCACCGAGGCCGACAAATACGTATGTATATATTCTAACCCATACCCAGTCTAAACGGAAAATTTGATAACAGTACTATTTCGATATTATGTTATCCTGGTACCTTCACTATCTAACAGCAAATTCTTTGTTGAATGTACTAGGACTGCATAAATAGTACATTTAAATTAATTACTATCATTACAAACTTTGATATGAAAGGCTTATGATATTCCTTTTTAATCTTCTTTGCAGTTGATGATTACAATAATCATTACTGCTCATCAAATACGTAACCTTATCAAAGTGCGAAAAAATATGCATCTAATTGACCAATGATCTCCCATTTCCATAGTAAAAGTTTGTATTGATGAGTATAATCACCCCCTTAAAATAATAGGAATAAAATGGCACTTACACAAAAATATGTCCCTAAAATCTCGATTTATGTTTATGTTTTTTGCAGAATACTGTCTTGACCGTATTCGGCGGAACTTAATTTAAAAAAATGATCTTTGATTTTAATAGTATACATTTGTATTTTTCCAGCTGGCACAGCAATTTAGAGCGCACACTCTGGCTCCAATACGTGTCCGGAGTATGTAGAGCCGCGTGTGTAGTGGCCCGCGCTGTGCTTGCGGGTCGACCTGTGCTAGTCCACTGTTCCGATGGATGGGACCGTACCCCACAGATCGTCGCTGCCGCCCAGCTTGTGCTAGACCCTTATTATCGGACTGTTGAGGTTAGTCATTAATTTATATGAAGAAATAATGGAAGTATATTGTCTATCAAAAACGAAACGGAGAATCGTTATTTTGACATTTTTTTCCCTCCTCTTGGAAAATAATAGGCTCTCTATACTGTTTGTACCACAGATTACTTAATATACTTGTAATACCCGTATCATTGATTGGCTTTCGGTTTTGGCAACGATTCGCACACACTCATAGCCCCGCACTAGGGAAACCCTGCATCGCGGGTGCCATGGATACTCATAGACCATCACAAATTACACCCAAAATCACGAGAGAAATAAATGTAGACCATGTAAATATTTCTCCCGACCCGGGAAACGAACTCGGGACCTCTGCGTGGCAGTCTGGCATTATACCCGTTCAGGCACAGAGGCAGTTATTAATGGTACAAATGTTTCGAGCTCTTTGGTTTTCGCTATTGTTGCACATAGGAAATGAAACTATTTTTCGAATCTAAAAAGCTTATATTTGTTTTTTCAAACAAACCAAAGTTTCCGGGCCCTTTACAGGTCCCATGGTTGACGACTGACTCAAATAAATGATACTTTATCCCGCTAATAACATGACACAAATGTGTAACATGACTATGTACAATAGTGGGGTTACGATAAATTTTAATGGGAATACTTGAATGCTTCTACTACTGTATACTTACTTCACTATTACACAAAAAGTAATTTTATAAAGTAAAACAACACCAGCAATTAACCTACGCTAACTTAAAAAAAACACTTTTCACAGCGGTAACTTTTTAATTTTCAAACATATATTCATGATTTTTTTAGTACAAGCTATGATTTATTCGTTATAGATTATAAAATATGTGATTGTTACTTTTTGTATTGTTTTGTTAATCTTGATTTTAATTAGCTGAATAATTAGTCATTAAAAACGGAAATCGACAGAATTCGAATTAGGGTAGTGTTCATTCTAATCGAAAAGATTTTACTTTTACTATTTCACAATCTTAGCTGGTAAACAGAAGTTACCTGCTAAATCGAACCGCTAATATCTGACATAGGTGGCGAAAGACAGAATGTCCATAAAGCCGTCGACATAAAATCGAAAAGGTTTACGTTTAAAAATATTAAATTATTAAAAATATTAAATTATTTGTTTACTTAATGTTTGTTCGGACACAATGAAACTATATTTATTTTGTTAATTGTGTCAATTTCTGTTGAAAGGTACTAAGGAAACATATTTTGTCGTATGTATGGTAAAATTTTAAGTAAAATTGCTAAATTCACTTAGAATCCACTTAATAAAACTCTTAGTAATATACAGTGACTTTCACTTAAATAACTTTCGAAAAATATGATAAATTCAGCGTTGCCATTTTAAAACAAGAATCGCCATGTCATTTTTTTTTGTTTGTACATAATCATAACTTAAGTTTTTTAAACGCTCTGTATGAATCGAGAGAAGCTGTTTTAGAGAGCTTAGAAAACATTCAGTAACAGTCAAGAGCACATTTAAAGATTCTGTAAGAACCCCCATTGTGTACTTCACTGTATATAAAGATCTATCACAAATAAAACAAATGAAATCTTTCACAAATTTCTCACAGATGGCACTATGGCAAAAAATCGTTAAAAACCAAACACAAAGATAAGTAACAACACAGAACAAAATTGGAGGATTTGCTGGTTCGTTCCGTAGCTGACTTAGGAGAGCGTCAGGCACGGTATGGTGAAGGCTCTGGTTCGAATCCAGCCGGATCGAATAAAAGTTTCTTCGTCTTCAATCTTTGTATTAAAAGTCCCAAAAATACATTAAAATGTTAACTCCAATTCCATCTACAGGGTTTCCGCGTTCTAATAGAGCGTGAATGGCTCGACTTCGGTCACAAGTTCGCGGACCGATGCGGCCATCAATTCGGCCCTGAAGACCCTAACGAACGATCACCCATCTTCCTTCAATGGCTGGACGTAGTACATCAGATGATGCTGCAGTATCCTTGCAGCTTCGAGTTCAATGAAGCTTATTTGGTAAGTAATATTTGCGTACAGTCACGAGTTTAGGCTGCCGTACAAAACTATAAGTTTTTAAACTGCTGAACGAAATTTACTTTCTAACCATATGGTTTTCTAGGGCCACGTTTTGTGAGGCCCTGGAAATTTCCTCACCATCATTGTCACTCTAAATGACGATAATGTAAATAATGTGCAATTGTTGACAAGTAATGTTGATATTATATTGGATCACATTAGGGGTTGGATAATGGCACCACTGGTACTCGATTGACAATGTTTTATTTAAAAAAATGTCTTATGTTGTCTCAAAAAGACCTAGCAGCACCCGGCAGTGAATATTTTTATTTGTATATGTCGCTAGCAGATATTTATTAGATGTTTTATGTAGCTGTTATGTAACTGGGCAGTATGGTCTTTGACCTTCGCATATTCCATGCAGAACGAAGAATAAAAAAAATTACAACATTCTTTTAGTGCCAATAATGATGTTCAGATGCAGCCAGTAACACCTTTAGGGCGTTATTATGCAAAAATAATCCAACCCAAAAAGCGGTAATTTTTATTGCGAATCCGAGCTTGAAGTGGGTTAGATAATTTCTGCACTACTACATTCCATTGTCGAAGCGCAGCAAGTGAAATTCAATAAAAATTATCCATGCGTACAGTTCGATACTAGTATTAAAAAACATAATTCTGTACATAGCGTAGTGACGTAGGCCAAATTTTTTGTTCTCATTCTAATTAATTGATATTTTCATTCAAAACGAGCTTAAAAAAATAAATTAAGAACGACTGATGCGCTTCTGTATGAAATCGACCTGTACAGATTTGACAATTTAACACTGCCATGTCCCGTCTCGCCCGTAGATAAAGCTGGCGACACACGTGCACTCGTGCATGTTCGGCACGTTCCTGTGCAATACGGGCCGCGAGCGGCTCGACGCGCGGGTGCCCGAGCATACGGCGCACGTGTGGCAACTGCTGCGCGCACCCGCCTACCGGAACCACCTCTACTCGCCGCACCACCACGACCAAGTAAATTTCCATACATTTTGAAAGAATTCTAATCGATTTCTTAGGTTTTCGTGATTGCTACTCGTCGGCGACTTTGTGGGCACAACGGTTTGCAAAATTCGTGCTCTCTAGTGGACACGATAATAATAAAGATAAAATAAAATAAATACCCAGTGACAAGTTTTATATCACACTTGAAAAAATGTTACTACTTACAATGTAAACGAATGTTATTTATAAATGATAAACAATTCAGTCAATCTTATTGGGAATAATGGGATTATTTTTCGACATACTAATTAATTATCCACTTGTAAAGGGGAATATAAATTTATTGATTACAGACAGTATTTTTTTTTACTTTCAAATCGTGTTTTCTCAGTTCCATTATTTTTTAGTTACGACAGTATTTGCTTTTATGTGCGACTTATACTGTAATATTTTGTTATTTTTTGTTAATAGCCTTAAGTACTTATTGATCCTTCAAAATAATATAGTATTAGTATAGCTTTATTTAAGATTGAAAATTGTCCTCTTGTGTAAGTAGAGGTTTTCTTTCTCGTTTAACTTTTAAAAGCCTTATCTATTGGTAAAATGTTTACTAGCTCTGTCTATTAAAATGTCTCTCTGTGTAAATTCCCAGGGTCCCAAAGCTCTAACTTAGATTATGTACTTTTGGGAATGCAATAAATATTGAGTATCGAGTTGTTTTTTACATTTATGTTACCGTTCCGCAGGTGGTGTGGCCGGAATATGGCGTACGCTACATGCGAGTGTGGTGGGCCATGTTCTGCGGTGAACCAACGCCCGACGACGACCTGCCGCCACCCGCCGCGCACGCCAAAGCCACCGTACACAACGGTATGCGTCTTTGTTAAAAGTTACCTGCTTAGTGTCTATGCGTCCCTAGTGCTTTGGATATAATTTAAGCTATGAATATAAACGTTCTGCGGTGCTGGTCCGAAGTCGGATTTTTATTTATATGTACGACTTTGCGACAGATGGTTCCATCTATTCGTAAATTAAATGTTTTAAGTCTCAGCAATACATACATACAACGTTATTTGTTAATTTATGGAAAAAAATATGATTCGAAAAACAATTTCATGTTCTATGGTGTAAAGTAAATTATTTGAGTTATTATTTAATTTATTCAGTATTGTAAAACACGAAATTTTAATGGCAGATACGACGCAGCAGATACGAACAGAAAAAGTCGTTTTTTTTTTGTTTGACTCAAACACCCTGAAATGCCTTATTTAAAGTTTATTAAAGCACACACAGAATAACTAGGTTTAAATGGCGATATAAAAGAGAAAAAATTCTGGTGATACCAGAAATAATTAAATTACCAAAATCTGTGTTGTTTTATTACGATACGGGCAAGCATTTTATCACAATCTCAACCATTTGGGAAGTGATGATAGGTTGAACACGCTCTAGAAAGTGATTATTCCTTCTCGGCTTGTAACGGCCTAACTTTGATTTGTATTACATGGTGAAACCATAGAGTAATTCGGGTTTTTTTTTTAACTTTCAAAAATGTAAACCCTTTTGTTGTACCTTAAACAACGGTATGTTTAGACAGCTTGCAGTTGGTATTTTCTGTTTCGTTTGCGCCTGGTAGTCGGTTGTATTTTGCAGTGAGCCGAAGCCCAACAACTGACATATTTATGATGTCCTGGTATTTTAGATTTACTTGTTTTGCTTTTTAAGCTATTTAAAGAAAATATAAGTATTGTTTAAGTGACTATACATAGATAGACCTTATCGTCTATTTATACGGCATAAAAAGGTTTACATTTTATTATTACAGGATTAATGACAAAAACAAGATCGTGTGACAACTTACTCAATGAAGGCGAGAAACGAACAACACAGAGAAGGTGTAGTGATCCCAGTATAGCTCCAGACGTTATGTAAGTTGATGTAAAACAACTAATTTTGTGCACATAACATTAAGTTGCAAGTATTTATGACATTTGGAACGAGAGAGCCTACCAAAAATGTTTATAGCAATTTTACAGTTTTACACAATTTAAAATTGCTCTAGTAAAATATCAGACATTTTGATATTTTATCATTGTGATATACATTTAGACAATTTTATGTCCTAAATTTTGTCTATCAAGAACGAATTAGTAAATTTTGTGACGGCAATATATGCATAAACGAGCGGGAAAAAGATCTGCCAGATACAGACAAACGGACGGACATCAAAATTTTAATTAACGACAAAACTATTTTTAAACAATCCATGAACATTTTCACAAAATTGTTTTTTGTTTTTTTACTCTGGGCGTTAGATGAGAAAATCGAGTATATAACCCGAAATAGAGACGAAATAAGTCCCCATCCATCCCCGGCAACTCATCAAGCAAATGGGCCTTATATCACTTTTAAATACCAACTCTCGTATGCGCTAAACACACAAATTAGAAAGTTAAAATAGTACAGCGCCAACAACTGACCTGTGTGTACGTCTCAGTATATTCCAAAAATATTCTGTATTTATTGTAAAGATAATATCTCTAACAATGGGGGCTATTTCATTCGGTAGTGTGGGAAAAACAGCAAATCATCTAATTACAGCTGTCACCGTAATGATTTGGCAGAATAGTTTTCAAACAAAATAAATGACATTTCGTCTCTATTTCCGGTTATATACTCGATGGATGAGAATATCTCAGTTCGATTTCAGGTACATCATCCATAGGTATTGTTACTTGCGGCCAGGGGTAAATAATATGAATGTCTTATACAGGGTGTAAATTTGAGACGGGGCAGCAAGGCCAGCTACCTTAATCGTTGTAGTTACAGGAAAACGGTTCTAGAAGACTAGTTCTAGAGACTATCCATGAATTTGGCATTCACAGATTTTGAAAATATAGTACAGTCAGCAAGATAAAAGGCAATTTGTACAAAACTTTTTTTATGCCATTCGATCCGGTCTCTGGTAAGGATCAATTATCTCTGTGGGACCAACTGAGGTAAGAGTACTCGAAATGTCAGAAATCGCAAAAAACTTTTTACCATACATTTTGTAGGGACATATCTAGTCATCAGTTATTCTAGGTAGTTAAGGAAATTAACAATTCACCGGTCTCAGCAACTGAGAAATCTTCATCAGGAGCTTGAAATAGGTCTTGATAGATGCACGCCCGAGGACTCTTCCGATCTTGTCTGTAACACCTCTCACGTAAGGTAAAATGGCAGGTCTTCGCTCGACTGTTGGTGGTTTCACAATGGGCCTGCGGCATTGGCGTGGAATCTTCAACTTATTCGCATGTAGGAATGGCTTTATATGCTGAATGAATGTCGCAGACATCATGTGCTTTCTGAAACAAAGATTTGCCCTCGGTAGCTAACTAGCTAGGATGGTGAAGAGAATTACCATTGAGGTACCTATCCCTATGGGTTTGAAAAAACAAATATACGCGATTTAAATCCGGAAAAATAGTTTCATTTCCTATGTGTAACAATCGCGAAAACCTAAGAACTCGAGTAATTTGTTCTCCAGGAAACTGTCTATGGTAGTGAACGAGCGCGAACGCGAAAGTCGAGCCGCGTTGACGGACAGTTGCGTCGACGAATTGCCTGTTCTGCCGATCTCGAGCGACAGCTGCAACGATCAGGTATGTTCCAATTACTTAAAAACTTATCTGGTCACGCCTGTACGTTTTATGAAAATAATGCAAACATTGCCGAGCATCTTTAACAAAACAACTTGTTATAGCTGTCTTACCAAGTATCTGCTTTACAGGTGGACGGCCTCCATCCGGACCACTTCGAATCGTCCCCCCGCATCCCCCGCGACATAGCGAGCGGCTCGTCATCCCTCGAACGCGAACTCGCCCCCGAACTGCCCACGCACGACAAAGTGATATCCCACGACGACAGCAACGACACGGAGAGCACCGACGTCAACGAGAACGAGACCGAGGACATGACGGAAAGCGTTATTCGTGTCGAGAATTCGCCAGATGTTGACACGCCTGAAGAACCAGCTGTTTTCGTTTGCCATACTTATGGAGATGGAATTGGGATATCTGAAGTAAGTTAATGATACGAACCTACCACCAAACGTATATCACTTGTTACAGAAGGCAGCAATCCTTAATACTTGTCGCATTGTCAAAAGGTTCTTGTAGATGGAAGAGGACGAATTAGGTTTTTGTGACCCAACCACCACCCTCCATATATACACGCTGCCTTTGCTTAATTTCGGTCCGCAAGTCCCAAATGGGTCCCACCGGGATTGAACCCGGGACCTCCGTAACTAACGCTCATAGTGCAAACCGTTAGGTCACCGAGGTCGTCAAATAATAATAATAAAGGTAGCGCAGTGGCAGTGCGCCTCAGATCTTTGGGATTTAAAGCTTTTAATGGCACTGCAACTGTTATGGACAGGCGTGTAGCTTACCATCAGGTGCACGACTTGTTCGTCGCGTCACTTGTAGTATAAAAAAAAATATTTTTATGAATACTGCCGCTATTCTTTTATTTTGTTTGGGATTAGCGCCATCTACACGTACTAGCAAGCGTTAATTTATAAACTAGTTTGTAACACACAGCGTCATCTATTGACACGCATGTTTGTCAAGTTCAGAAAATAATAACATATAAAAAATTGGAATTGAGAATCTTCTCCTTTTTTGAAATCGGTTAATAATGTTAAATTTTGTTTCATAACTCGAAAGGCTGCGAGAGAACAGGGCCGAACCCGCAACATTTCAATCACCTGGCGGTCCGTGTCAGAGTCCAGCAATCAATCGTCCACGGGCTTCGACATTCCTGAGGCGCCACAGGCCAAATGCGCTGTCAACTCTCACGAATCATCGCCCGTTGACAACCAGGTACAACGCTATTTTCTAAACTCCTCGCTTCGGAACTATTCACTGTAACTTATTTTCAACCTAAGTGTCTCTTAGTCACTTTTACCTTTCAACCGTTGATATGAGGCAGTTAAAAATGCTTAAGAGCGATGCCACACGGGCGCTGCCGTTGCGTTGCGTTGCGACGCTATAATTTCAACGCACTGAGCGCCGTACAGTAAGGCGGTGTCGCACCGTAACCGTAACGCCGTTTTCTTATAACAACACCCCTCCCCGCTTCGTCTCCTGTCTTACGTCGCCTCGCGCCATTTCAACGTACCATGTGGCATATAGTTCTAACTTATATCGACGCTGGAAAAATAAAACGTCTAATGTACATTTGGAAAATATTACTGAAGAGCGATTTAAAGTTTTTTTTTAGGAAAAACTAACATTGTAACTCTAGTTTTATTTGTTGTATGGAAAAGCTGAAGCTTTCTAGTTTTCCATGCACGTTAGACGTTTTACCTTTCCAGCGTTGATACAACGCAGTGTCACCTCTCAGGCGTCTTAGCGACGACCCAAGGCGACGCTCTGACATCGTTGTACGTTTCGCCTTTGTCGAGTAGCGCCCTCCTGTCGTCGACCACGGTTTTCGCTCTTATTGCATAGATTTAAGGATTTTAGAGTTTGTCTAACCGACTCAAGCCTATTCTCCGCCGATAAGTATGGTGAAAAAAACCCTTGGATTGGGTTACAGTAAAATTTCTGCAGAAGGCACAAAATGTTATAACAAAGCAAAGCTACCTATCTTCTTTGCTTTAAGAGTCAATACAACCTCAAATGGCTTTGGTTGATTCCGCACAACAGTGACAGTGTTGAATCAATGACTTTGAAAAAAAATATAGTAAAATTGAAAATGTACACCATTGACTTACAATTATATGGACGTCGGGTCCGCGCTAAAAAGTGTCCGCACTTGTAAGGCGCTAAAATCGTATACAGAGCGCGACACTCCGCTTTAGTCTTCATTTGTTCTACTGACAGCGCGATACTGCGATGACATTACAATTTAAATTTCGAATAGGTTGACTTGGGACATTTTTTTCGTGTTTTTTGTATTAGACCCGTCGTCCATTTATTTGTAAGTCAATGATGTACACTGATTACTATACGGTGTGAAAACACGATTCCTGAAAATTTCCACAATAGGAAAAAAAAACAAACTTACCTCGAAATTTTACAAGAAAACCGCTGTATTCAATAGGTACTTTACATATACCAATGTTTTTTTTTTATATCAACTGAGCTAAATAGAGCACGTATAGTATGCGATATACACATTGACTTACAAATAAATGGACGACGGGTCTAATACAAAAACCACGAAAAAAATGTCCCAAATCAACCTATTTAAACGTAGTGACATGTAAAGGAATATGAAAAAGCTTAAACGTAGAATTTAAATTGTAATGACATCGCATTACTGTCTAATTTTGCTTGCTTCGCTGTCAGTCGAACAAACGAAGACTAAAGCGTGAATGACGCTCTGTATACGATTTTAACGCCCTATAAGTTCGGACACTTTTTAGCGCGGACCCGACGTCCATATAATTGTAAGTCAATGGATATACATTTTTCAAATGGCTTTAATTCCGTTTGTAAAAAAAATAAATTCTGTAATGAAGTCAGTGGCCCTGACGCTCGACCCAACCAAAATGAACCGTAGTAGTACGGGAAAAATTTAAATTCTAAATGTGGTACACGAAGGTATAACTTCCTACAAACAATGCTTCTTTTCTAAAGTAACTCTACGTTTCCATATCAGGAGAACCAAGATAATCATAATTCAACGGAGGGCGACGTTGTCAACCACAACGTACCTATCAGTGAGCTGACCAATCACAGCCGAGAGAACGGGATCACCAATGGAGTCAATGGCGTAGACAAAGTCGCCGCTAAGTTCCTTGAAGTCGAATTGAATGGTGAGTTTATTCAAGGGATTGTATTCCACCAATCACAGTCAATGCATTGAACAATCGCAGTCGAGAGAATGGAAATCACCATTGACGTAGACAATGCCGCTTCTTGGTTATCAACGTTGATTCATGACTTGTTATTTCTTTGAGTTACTGTTTTCTACATATAATTATTAATCTAGATAGGGAATAAAGATCGAACACCAAGGAAAAATTCCTTGGCTCCGGCTGGATTCGAACCAGTATCCACATTTCTTACAGATGGCACTACGGCAAAAAAGTCATTAAAAACCAAACAAAACCAAAACATGCACATAGAAAAATTCGTGAGGTCCGTTCGTTCGTTTCGTGGCTTAGTTGGCATAGAACGGTTTGCTGGAAGACACTGGTTCGAATCCAGCCGAGATCGAAGAAATGCAAAAAATTGTTTTTGGTAATGAAAATATATAACTTGTTCAATTTTATACCTACCGCTATGGTGTTACGGTACAAAGAGTACATAGCAGTAGCTAGGAAAATGAACAAATTATAACTATTTTTTTATACACATCCCTCGGCAAGAGTGTGATTTTTCCCATAGATAGTGTATTGGAGTGGGACGTATAATTGATTAATGTTGAGTAATAAGTTGCGCACAAAAATGTAATTGTCAATGCTTTTTATATTTGTCATTTTCGACGAAAAAAAGATGATCTAAATAGCAACATTTAAAAACCACACTAGATAACATTCTTCGCTTCTTAGCGCAAACAATAAACTTGTTGTATGTTTGAGTATTTACATATCACAAACGGTAGTACTCCATTAGATGAGACAATTTATCATGTCCACCAATCACAACACACCAGACAATGAGCTGACACATCGCAGTCGAGATAACGGAGTCACTAAATTTTAACATATAGAGTAGAACTTAAAAGTTACGCTTTATAATAAACACGATTTTGCCTTATGTTTTAATTTGAAAATTTAATTGATAATTACAATAACAATAAATTACCTTCTCAGGAGGAGCAACCTCAAGCAGTATAAGTTCAGAAAGCGAAGGCGAAGCACACACCCACGCGCGAAGGACCCATGCTCGGACGCGGGTGGCCAGCCAGCTCACTTTATGTCCCGCCTCGCCAAGGCGCATCGCGTGTTGTCATTGCACAAGACGCGCTAGCACTACCAGTGAGTGTTCACCTTTATTTATAATCACCACACACGTCACTTTTATGGAAAGTGTTTTTAGACCATAGTCCGCCACGAAGCGCGAAGAATCATTTGACATTACGTTCAATTGATATGGTATTTATCACTAGCTTGAATTGTGCAAGGCTGTAACATAGTTTAACAAAATAAGTGGGGTAACTCCATACAAAAGTATAGTCTGTCTTTCTTGAATATGGAGTAAAATTACTTTTGCAGGACTGCCAGTTTTTGTAAAATTTTAAATAGTCATGTTGTTGTTGTTGTCGACAATTTTGTCGATAGATTGTTAAAGTGAGTAATTTTTTTCCAAAAATTTCAATTCATAGTCATACACATTCTAATAACCACAGGCGAATTTTATTCTGTATATTGAATTCAAGTGAAACACTATCTCCTGTTTGTATTTTTTATATACATAATGCTTTTAGCGTATGAATTTTCAAAAATTATCAATTCAAATGAACTTGTGCTCCGTAGTTCGCATGTTCGGCTAATTAATCATAAGCGTAACCAACGTTCCAGTCGATAATCGATATAATATTAACACTCTTGCGCAATAACTGCTATTTTACTCCATCTTCAAAAAAGACAGACTATAGCAGCGCGGTTAGTACATGTGCAAGCTCGCTGCTCGCCATCTACGGACGCACGCATACGCTTAATCTCGCAGTACTTTCGAATTGCATTAGAGAAATAGGGTAATTTTCAGGTTAGTTTTCTCTACCTAATTTTTTTTAAACACTCCTAGCCCAGCACTGGGGAAACCTGTACCACGGGTGCATGAACACACACATAGGACATACTCACGTGAGAAACAGATGTAGGTCATACAAATATTTCTTCCGGCCCGGAAATGGAACCCAAGACCTCTGCGTGACAGTCAAGCATGGTAACCGTTCGGCCACGGAGGCAATTAGGTGGCAATTTTTATTATATGAATATTCGATGGTAGTACACTTATACTTACTATGTTTACTTGAATACTAATAATCCAAAAGATTCTGCAAACAGAGGGCGGTTACACTTTCAAACGTTCGTTTCAAAGTACTTTTAGTGCATAAGGATATTCCAATAGAGTCGATAAACGTGTGGAGTCTCAGCAAACAGGTGCGTATGCCTGTTGTGTACAAAAACCGTTAATCTTCAATCCTCTTAAAACATAAATAAATATTTGATTCTTTCCCAGGCGGCATAGAAACGTCAGGCGAATCAATTGCCAGCTCCGAAGTGTGTTGGTGCGGCGTTTGCGGCGGCGAAGTGGGCACTGAGCGAGTCCGATGCGTGTGTGGAGCTCCTGGCGCCTCATCCGCTCCCGGTAGCCAGCCTGATCCCTTGGATGGACTTACACCCGCTGCTGATCCTTTGCAAGCGAGATTGCATCAGATCATATTATATCAAAAGGTGAATTATGCAAACCTATACTAATTAATCTAGAATGATCTCTGTGACAGTTCATAAAAATCTACACAATATAACCTTGTAACGACGTGCACGTATTACGTAATTCACAAATTATTTTTACAAGTCCCGCTTTTAAATGAATAGCCTTTGTTGAAGTAAATACATTAAATTAAAGTAAAAATAACAACAAATAAATGTTTATTTGTGACTAACGGGCGGAAAAACATTTCTTTTAAAAATTCATCGTTTTTTTTACGACAACGTGTGAAGGTTACTTCATTACACTGCATAATTTGCTAGAGATGAGATAGGTATGTCATTAAAAAGTTTTTGATAAATTAATGAATAAATGTTTAGTGCAGTGCATTCTTAAAATATGAATTTTAATCATACTTACTTACTTACTTTTTCGAAAGTTATAAATTAATGATATATATTTTTTAATTTTCGAACATATCTATTGAAATTGCATTTGAATCATAGTTGTTACATCGTTCAGAATACCCGAAACAGAACAGAACAGGATTTTGTTTCGTCCAAGTAAAAAAATAAAAAATATTAATTGCAAGTAACAAAATAATAAATAAATGCTGTTATAATATTAAATAGCTGCCTCAGTTACATTAACTACTTTAATTTCTCTCATAACTTTGGGTGTAATTAGTGGTTGTCCATAGCTCCCGGGACACAAGGTATCCCTTCTGCGGGACTATGAGTGCGTGCGTTATTTATTTACTTCTAGCAACCTCCTGTGCGAATTACGACGACGGTTACAAGTTGAATTTGAATTTGACGTATGAAATCATCGTTCAGTTTTTGACAGTAACACCCTTCAGTTTGAACGTTCTGTGTGTAATAATGGTTGAAACGTTGGATTGCTGCAGAAAGTGGTAGAAGAATTGACTGGACAGCTCCGAGAGGCGCGCGAGGCGTTAAGACGAGCCACGCCCCACGCAGGATGCCCAGCACCTGTCGCTAGGCCTTCGCCCTCCGCGCCGTCGCCTACGCAGGTAGGATATTTAGTAGTACATCATATATAAATAATTGAAACAAATATTGTTGATACAATGATCGAACAACACAAAGAAAAATTCCGTTGATCTGACTGGACTCGAACCAGTGTCGGTTGCCATGCCGGGAGTACCGCTCTTAACCAAGACCAAGTTAAACCAGTGGAGTATTTTCACAATAAATATACTTATACTATTGTAGATAGCAGTTGAAACAATTGTTTAAACCACAATAAAATATCTCGACCGAAGGACTTGAATCCAAAGTCATAAAATATTTTTTTTTAATTCACGTCCCATAAATTTTATAATGCTGCCTGAACAAGACAATGGACCGAATACTTGACGTATGCCTGTCTACCTGAAAGTAGCAAAAGAAAAAGAAACCAATACTTAGCTGTATGGTTTTAAACCTTTTCCTTTTCGAGGATGAGCTAAGCATCCTCCAATCCCTCCAGTCGCGTAGGTTTCTGGGAATCGAACGCTTCGGCGTCGGGAGGTCAGCATGTCGACAGCTCCGCCATCAAAGTGGAGATTTGTGGAGGTAGTGGACTTTAGAGACAACGGCTTAGCGGTGGCATCCGTTAGTCGTGCTATGCACAAGCGGAAGTGAGTTTGCCAACAGCTCCGGTACCTATCTTGAAAATAAGAGGCTTACTAGTAGCTACGAGCACCCGGGGCCGCTCACCCGAGGCAATAGCCTCTAGAGAACCGGATGCAGTCCGTAACAACGAACACAGACCAGTCTGTAATAGCCCTATCTACGGGCTGATCTGGGATCAAGATCTGAGTAAGTCCCTTTGCGGGCTTGTTTGTGCTGGTTATAGTGCCCTTCTCGTATATCTTAAAGGTCGGTAGGGAAGGTCAATATAATCAAAACCAATGTGGAAAGGTACAGGGTTGTCCCGTATATCGTCGCCTTAGGGTGAAAACTTCGCATATACGCGTTTTGACATAGTTCGTTTTTACTGATTTTTGTTGAAGAAACACTTATAAACTTCTTGCTCAAATATATTATTAAAGTAACAAAGTATCTGGAAGAGGTGTAATTTCACTAACTAAAATGCTATCTACAAACATTATTGCGTTTACTACATAACATGGAAATCACTTACGAGACGTTACACATACTCTAAGGCTCAATTTACAATGCCGTGGAACGGAATGGAAGCGAATTATTGTAACGATATTGTACATAGCATAATGAACTTTATAATAATAATAATAATTCGTTTATTTGCTTAAAACATGGTATAACAGAAGATGTTACAAGAGAGTGCCAGTACAAACATGTTTCGCATATAATAAATGTCTAGTTATATAATGTCGATCATACTACCACAACTCAATAATACGAAAATGTCACAAACGTGTCAAGTTACAAATTAATTTGGTCAAGAATGATAATCTTCAAGACAAAATCTTACGTCTCATTTTTTGTCAAATATTTCATTTAGGTCATAAAAATTATTTTTATTTAACCACTTGTACAGCTTTGTTTTTAATAAACTTAAGTGTAATAGTTTAATCTCAAGAGGTATTTTATTATATATGTCAACACCATTTTTAAACAACTTTTACTGTATTTAGCAGTCATAGGAATAGTGTCAAGTACAAGTCTATTCGGGTTTCTGCTGAGTCTAATATTCACATCACAAGCTTTTAATCGAGTTAAGTATTTCTTACGTCAGAAAAAAAGTCATTGAAAGCATTAGCAATGTCAACTGGGTTAGTAATTTTAGTATTGTTGATTGCAATGTCGTTAATGAGTTAACGAGCCATCTCGAGAATGCTCGCGCATTCCGCGGAAGCTTTTGGCACGTATCTAGTTTGTACGTTACACGATTGACCATTAAGCTCATTATGCTATGTACAATGTCGTTACGAAAATTCGCTTCCATTCCGTTTCGCCGTAACATAAATTGAGCCTAAGACGACGATATGGAGCCTTAAGCAGCGTCGTATTAAGAGAGTACGTCACCCTCAGATGCGCAGCAGCAGCGGGGGTAGCAACAGCACGCGCCGCAGCGCACGCGGCAGCGGGTCCAGCTCGGGCAGCGGCAGCGCCTCTGAGGTGGAAGTGGGCGAGGAGGCCCGGGGCGTCGTCTGGCTGCCTGACTCCGCCGCACCCCGGTGCCAGCACTGCCGGAACCACTTCTGGCTCGCGCGAAGGCGGCACCACTGCCGGTAGGTAGTACTTCAGGTAAACCTTTTTTCTTGTGTTTCCTTTATGTTCTCACCCAGGCTTGCGTATCACGTATCAACTGACACTGACAAGTGTATCCAACTAATTTTAAAAACCGATCAACAATATGTCGCTCATTTCAGGGTTAATCACAAACAAAACTTTATTACCTATGGAATTTGACTCACTTTAACTTTGACTTTAAAGGCCAGCGCATACCGGAGGACGGCAAGGCAGAGGACAAGGACATTAATCACGTATATTATGTGCCATTATAATTGGAATTAAGCATAAATTTCGATACTTATTTAAATTACAATAGCATAAAATCTACATCGAAGCGTGCATGTGATTTGCGCTGGCCTTAAAATTTAGTTAACTCTGTAATTTCTTGTTTAAATTTAAGCCAAGTTCGTTTTGTAAATACGAAAAACTTGATTAGCTTGCCGTAGGTAATATTATTATACTATACTATAATATTGTTGTAGTTTTTTCTTTTTTGTTGTAGTTTTTTTCCTGACTGTTTATCAATGCGTATTTACTCTATTCAACCTCTATCAGCGGATAACTGTTTATAACAATATTAAGTATTATTTTAATTTCCACTATGTTGTGTTTATAAGATAATTGTACCCTCAAGAGAAAATAAATGAAATAGTGAACTTGAAATGTTTCTGTGGTAAATGACATCGAAAATAAGAAGCGTAGGCACCACGTCGCGGTTTGCTTTATTAGACCAGTCTGTCAAGTGTGTCAAGTCGCTCACTGTATCATGCTCATGTAGTGACATGAGATGTAATGTGGGAAACAAGAGAACTAACACTCCTGTCTGTCGGTGTGTGTGTCACATAACAAGCCGGTGTTGAAAAAGTCACAACAATCATTTATACTTATCAGCGTAAACAAAACAACCAAGAGATCTGCGTTGTGCTAGTTAGCTGTCCAATGGCGTCTCCTTGTCTCCCGTGCATCCGCCCGCGCATCTTTCGTCAAAACATGACTTGGAGCGATCGAGTTGTTAATTTTATTTGTTACTTAACTACGTCACCACAATACAAACGCATACAGTAGGTATATTTATAATAAAACACACAGCAGTAATACAATTTACAAAGAACACAAATATTTAAGTAGTTTATTTTATTCTATTTTATTTCGCGACACACACATCTGCCACTCATCATATCACGCTCAGGGCTCATTGAAAACCAGCACCACAGTCAGTTATGGCTGTGGCATAAGCTGAATGAAATCCATTTGCGTACTCCACAACCGCACAAATGACAGTACAATTTGTAGTCGTTATATTTTGTTTTTTGTTTGACTAAGTGTTTTCAATATTTTTTTGTATCTATGTGTTATGGCGGCGCAATAAATTACTATTATATTCTTTCTATTCTATTCATGTTAAAATACTTAACTGAGCTTGGCTTTAAAAGGAACAGATCTAAAGCGGTTTCACAGCTGTTCGTACGGTCCTTACAGACTGTCCACCTGCGGGCGATCCGCTTGCGTAGAATCCGCAGTGCTCTGAACCGAGTATTTAATTTAGTGCGGATATTCACGGAAGACAGTCGCCTACAATGAACGCACGGGTAGATTGCGCGGAGTTCACGCAGAGCGTGTTCCGTACGGAGCAATCCGCGTCACTGTAAAACGATTTTCTAACCCTACACGTGTTACTCCGCTCCGGTATTCCGCGCGGACTTCTAATATTTTAGAGCTCTTTGTATCCGGACTCGCCCATATCTGCATAACGACAACTTTTTAATATTTTAAAGATTCTATGAACGAAATTAGTCGGTGGTTTTGATTCATCATCAACTCATTTATACGTCTTACTGCTGGGCACGCATCTCCTCTCAGGTGATATTGGGTTATGAGAGGCATGGGTTTAGGCCATAGTCTGTCACATTGACTCAATTCAAATTGGGGAGACACATTTTTCAACGTGCAGGTTTCATCAAGTTGTTTTCCTTCACATTAAAGCCTAAAAACATTTTCAAAATAAATCATTTACTCAGAGGTGCAAGCCCAGATTCGAACCCACGGCCTCTGCTGAGGCGGTAGGTCATACTACGGCTTACGAAACTTAGTTAGCATTATTTTTATGACTTTCATGTGATAAAAGCGTACGAATTATTTAAACCGGAATCTAAATTATACTACCGTCCGCTAACTGAACCGCGGCTAACAAAATATTTTTTTTTTTTTAAACCATCACCCACTTTTAGATTATTGAAGTTGTTTAATAATATTTCAGCTATGCATCGTTAGGGTAGATTCCGACAAGTCAAATACGTTAAGTAAATTTACCTGTTCTTAAAAGAGAATTTTGTGCTCTATCGTTTGCTATTTAAAACGGATATTTGACCATTTGTCACTTAGCCGCGTTTTGGTTAGTGGACGGCAGTATAGTTTGAACCATTTACACCTCCGCTAGTAGTATCGGTAGCGTTTATGTTGTTAAACCAGTAGCTGTAGTAATTGGTCAGTACGATGGACAACATTTCCTGTGTAGAGGAGTTTATTTATTCATCTTATCCTTTTTTTTATAATATCAAGTGACGGGACGAACAAGTCATCCGCCTGATTTTAAGCTACACGCCTGTCAATAACAGTTGCAATGCCACTCAGAGCTTTGTATAGTTGACAAGTCCTCCAAGAATGCCTTGATATTTTTTCAACCGCCGGTAAAAGAGACACCCAGAAAGAACTCTCCTAAACTAAAATGAAGGATCAATGTGATAAGAAGAAGATCCCGTACGTATTCTCCATCTTTATTTGAAGCCCGTCACCCTGGGGTATAAAGTTGATAAGTTCCATGTAGTGCACTGTCATGCTTCAAAACCGGAATGCAGTAATGCTTCTCATTACAAATAGGTAAGGTGCCTGTAATTACACCAACACCTTTACCCTTCAAAACCGGAACACAGTGAAGCTAATATTACAGCTTGGCGGCAGAAATATGTAAAGTGGCAATACTTCCCTGGAGGAACTCTTTCACAGGGAGCAGCAGTAGAACTGCTAAATATAAATATCAGATATGTTAATGTCAATGTACTCAATTGTGATGTTTTTTGACAGACGTTGCGGCGGTATATTCTGTGGTTCCTGCTCGGAGATGAGTTCTTGGGGCGATTACGGGTCCGTGCGCATGTGCCGGCGATGCCACGCGATGCGGTGACCCGCCTCCGCCCCGCTCCGCCCGTGCCGCGCGCCCGCTCCGCTAACCGCTCCGCTCGTGCACACCTCTCACTTGACTGCTAATGTCTCTTAGGTTTGATCATCAAATTTCTTTACAATTGTATTACATCCTCTGCTATGAATTTCTATGTGTACAATTGTCGAACATTTAAGTGATAAAGCATGCTATATGCGTTCTGACTGTAGCCCGTCGATAGTTGAGTCATTTGCAATGTTTGTGCAGCATTTTTTGCAATTTTTGTCTAAACGATAAATTGTATATGATTAAGGTTCTAGTTTTCACTTCTCATAAAGAAACAAAGACAGCTGTATCGATTTAAGACTTATAGATTTTACAATGGTGTACCTTAGCAGGGGAATATATTAAGATGGCTTTTTATGTAAAAATCATATTCAGAGCTTTTTAGGTGAAAATATTTTAAAATTATAACAGTACATAATCAAAGTTCCTTACGCGGAGTTTTTCAAAGAATCGATATTTAAGAACTGTTTGAAATATTTTCATTTAATTAAAAAGCCTTTTACTATACAATGTTATATCGCACCCCTCATGGAAGAATGGCATAATCAAGTTACGTCAATAATGTTTATTGCTCCATTGGATACGGAAAAATAATAACCCACATCTTCTCCAATTCTTGTAACTCTATCTACAATATTAGTCGATAGAGTTCCAAGAATTGGAGAGGATGTGGATTATATGTTTCTGTATGTAATGGAGCAATAAACATTTTTGACGTAACTTCACTTACGTCGTTCTTCCACGAGGGGTGCGATATTTAATTCGTGAGAAAGTAGAAATATAAAATGGTTAAAACTATTAGACATTAGCAGTGTTATACCGCCCAACATATACTACCTATATAAACCAAAATGTTGAATACTGTTTAGACACTCGGCACTAAGGCAGTGCATATACTTTCCTGCGTACTGGCCAACAGAGAAACTGATGTTTTTTTCTGAAATCTTATGGATCTCACAGAGTTGAAATTGGTCCTATGATCAATTTTATGAATAAAAACCTAATCTTGCAATATTTTTTCTCTTTTTTTTTCTATGGCTAAACAGTATTTCAATTTATACCTAGTCAATGCGCTTGATTACTTGAAAATGTCAAAATGTTATTTATCATTAAAAAGCAAGTTGCAATTACTACATCATTTCCATGACATTTTTGTTTTTTTAACTCTGTTTATTTCGCTCACTAAGCGCGTTTTGCAACCTTACGTCGTGTATGACACAGTGAGTTAGTGCTATGTGTATTGGACTGGTGTTTTAGCAAATCTATCGACTCGTCATCCTACATGTAGTATAGTGAATGTCGCGCTTTAGTTTTCATCACTCGTGTGTGACATTGAAACGTTTTGAGCGACTTAAATGTAAAGACTGAATAACATATTGTTAGAATTTTATTTTCTAGTATGTGAAAAATGAGAAGCATACTAAAACCTCTTAAAATATAATAAATAAAAAAACTTCACAGTATGATCGAATAGATATCCAGTACTGTTTTTTGCTTCAAACAAAAACGAACCTGGTCTTTCATTGACAAAAATAGAAAACTAATAATACGCTATTCAGTTTCCTACAAAGAGTTATTAATACTTATAAATGACAATCGAATCAAACTATAATTGTGTATTTTTTTTTAATAAAATGGCCATTATGTGAGTCGCGTATGTCTGTTAAAGCTAACGTTTTCTTTCAAATAATATTTAATAATATGAACATTGTAGTGTCTTTATTTGTGTATCAAAACACTGCATACTGTACTGCTAAAGACGCGGTTGGTTGCTACACTGTGAAAAAGTTGTTATGTAGTTGGACATTCACTAATCTGCAAAAGCAGTCCCAATGAATTTACGTCTTATTTAATATGAAGACGAGTCGTAATACAAAATATAGTCTTTAACAAGGTCGATAATGACTGTATAATCTCATTTTTAATTATAAGCAAGTTCAAAAAAATTCCGGAAGTTTCATTATATTGTTTACATTCGAATTATGTATAAATTTGTCTTAACGAAAAATTACATTACCACTATCTTAAGTAAAACATTCTCTATCCAACATGTTGGCCAACAATGCTGTGTGAAAATGCAAGAAAGAGACGTCCTACATTTATTAAACTATAAAATTCCTACGTATATTATTTATTTTAGCAATTGGATAGAATTATTTTTATCGTTATTGCTTATTGATGATATATAAATTTTGTATTGCTAATGACATACGCGACATTTGTACGCAAATTACGACAAAGTTTTTGAGCCAATCAAGGTGTGTCGACAAGTGTCGGATAAATCAGCGAATAATGTAAAAATAATTTATAGGATGCGCTCTAGTCTTTCGTGGAATCGAGGATCGCGGCCGCGGCTGGCATGTAACATAGATAGACGAAAATAGTTAATGAAGGCTGATTTTGTACGATATTTCGTTTTTTCTACGACTGTACATTTTTTTTAGACTTTAGATTATTGCGCTGTAATTGGTTTAGTTTCCTTTTTTTTAACCGAACTAGTGAACGTTATTTGAATTCTTTAAACGCAAAATTTAATAACGGTTATGGTTTGTGCTACAGGAAACACCTATTGCATTTAAGTGCTAAGCTTTTGAAGCCATCTTGCCTATTCAAATAACGTTCTAATGCTCGTAATAAATATGATTTTCTTTACACTTATAAAAAGAAAGCTGGCCATGATTGAAAGACACATAGACATGTTGGTTTTGTATAAAATACTGTTTTTTTTTGTTTAATAGTGTTTCTTTGTTCTATTAATTATTACATACTTTGTACAGTAACGTTTTGTTTCACACATGTCATGAAACCGGCCGACTGACAGCTATGTAAGAAAATAACAGGCGATATTGTGTTGTAATGAGTGCGACGGCTATGTACTGTCAGTTGGCTCGAAGACTGAGTTTTATATAAGACTACAGCCAGAAGCTTAACTTCAAGATTTTTCTTATCTAATCTTGGACAAGCTTAATTACAGGCAATGTGTGTTCGACTTAACTTTTAACGTTTCAAAAAATGTTTTGTATGTATTATTTTCTCAGTTTGATCATATTTTTGGAAGGGATTTCAATAAAATATATTCACTGTACATTACTGTCCTTTCAACGTCCTGCAAACAGTGAGTAAAGGCTTTAACAGATCTGCTGCATCTACAGCGTAGGTGTCCTATAGACTATCCAATTTTATTTGCTAACTTAAAATGACAGCTTTTTAGTTACATTTTGTGTGTATTAATTGATAAGTGTCTAATTCTTGAACAATAAATTGGTGAGTCTATAAATCCTTTATTTATGAACTAATTAGAATGTAATCATTGTTAACTAAAGTAAATTAAGAATCGGTCATAAATTACTCTATAGAAATATTATAAACCTTCCAAAAGTATGATCTTAAATAAAATCGTTTTGTTGTACTAAAATCCCTACTAAGAATTTTTATTTAGCTTGATTATTATTTATCCATAATCAAATGATACATAGGCTAGCACCGAGCATCGTATTTTATTTGTGATATTGATGATAATTTTATTAATAAGAGTTTAATAAAATGTTGTTAGACGTTAAATTTTACTGGTGGAATTATTTTATACCTCTTTGAGTTATTTCGAAATAACTTTATCGTTTTGTATTACACAAGAGAAATTAATCGAAAGCAATATGTGAAAACATTTTTTGCTATATTATGAAGTTATTCCTAAATATTTCATGAAAAGGATACAATTATTTAAAAACCTGTACCTTTAATTCAAACAAGGAAAATTATTTCTATAAAAGGGAAATTCAAAAGTAATCCACACGTAAGGCGATTTCAAAACAAATGTGGCAATACAGCCATTATTTATACAAAGACAGTATTCATTGTTGAGAAATTATCAATAGTGTCTTCAATAATTTTAATACGGATGCCTTAGAAGTCAAAAATAGACTACACAGCGACTCTTGGATAAAACGTAGTTGACGTAATAACTCAGAGAGGTCTGTTGTTATATGAGTATATTTTATATTTACTATACGATAGCTCGGAGTATGTTAAGTTCGATGTTGAAGTGCAAACTTGTTTGTGACCAATGAATATTGACACGATGTGAAATAAAGCATATTTAGTTTTATTTATTGCTTTCATTTATTGATAACCCAATGACCTATAAACCTTGTATAACAATAATTTCAAAGATGTGATGTGATATCGTCTGCTTAAAGGTAAAACCACATAAGTGACATTTTCCATAAAAATCACCAAATTATGTACCAGTTGTAAGAAATTCGCCATCTTTCTGCAGATAAAACTTTTATTAAGTTTATAGCTTTTTGTTTTCGAGTTTCACGTGCAGAAAGATAGTGATTTTCGTACCATGGCTATATAGGGTAAGTGTTTGACAATAAACCACCAAAATTTTCAAGAGCTGTACGTGTACGCTGTACTCTGGATCCATGGACCTAAATTATGCACTTTTTGCCTAGAGTTAGATGTAATAATTTTACGGGGTATGATAAAGTAGTACTTCATTTTTGTCCAAATATAGTGAATCCTTCTAAAACCATGTTTTGTTAAAAGATGAGAAATGGTTCACTGTGCACACCCAAAAGTACTCATTGAACCGGGAGCTGGTACACAATGAACCAAAGGAGCGAGAATGGACGTGATTAGTACAAACATCAGCAAACTATTGCATATTTATAAAAATTGTGATATACAACGCGGTTTTTGGTTAAATTAATGAAAAACATAAGTTTTTGGGCATCCGACAGAAATACATATTAAACATAATTGAAAAAAAAAACAAGCTTTTAAAAACATAATAATGAAATATAACGAAAAAAAACAACTTGAGTATCACAAATTCAAAATAAAAGTTTTGTAACTCAGTCGCGCACTTTGTGATTTTTTTTTACTTATCTAGCAGTCAATATTTTCATGTTTAATTTATCACTAAGTTGTCATAGGTTCATTGTGTACACATTAAAAGTGGTTCATTCTGGACCACCCCATATTTATAAAATTTGAGATTATGATTAAAAAATGTATTGATGGTTAATCTATTATATCTATTAACATGCAGCTACTGCTTATACAAATCAAACGAAACGATATTCTTCTCGCGTGTTTGTTTTAGTTTTTTTGGTAAAAAATAAAAAACTTGATGCCCCCGGGCATTTGTGCCGCTAGCGCGCTATAGACCAGGAAGAGAGAGGTACCTATAGTAGAAGCTCACTTTGTGCGATTTGCACTAAATTCCAGTATCGCTTTTCCGAGTTATTGGCGCGGTTCATAGTATACACTTGGTTCACTGTCGATAAGAAATTTAATGTAGGGTGCTACCCTAAATTAAATTTTTTTGTGGTAAACGTCACTTATGTGGTTTTACCTTGAAACAGACGATATTGAATTTTGAATCATATCATAATAATAATAATCAGTAGCATGAGAAAAGCAAAGTTACTTAAGACGTCGTCAGCTACCCTTTTTATTTCTTGTAAGTACAGTCCCATATCATTTACATAAGTGTAGTTTAAAGTGCCTTTAGTTTAAGTTAATTAAAAATCGCCCAGTAGAAAGGGTTTTGTCTGGAAGAGATCGCTCTTAGCGATAAGACCGCCTTTGCCCACATTAGTTTTAAGTTGTCTATGTACTGTTTTTGTTATTGTATGTAAGCAATAAAGTGTATATCTATCTATCTATCTATCTATCTAACGCATATTATTAATTCTTTGTAATTCCACTTGCTACTTAGACCAACAATACGAATCAAGACAATATTAGACATAAATTTACTTATCATTCTATTATTTTGAACAAAATTATTTATTATTTTGAATGAGCATGTCGTGCCCAAACACGCGCATTGTTCTATTGGTGAATTGGCCTATTGTCATGAGGAAGTACATAACCTAGGACTACGAATAATATTAATCAAAAGTGGATCAGGCGCGTTCATGAACAGTACTTAAAGCAATCAATGAGCTTGTTTTACTTTGACTAAAAATCTTACCATTCGACAAATCGTTCTGCCGTGTTGAGCAGGGAATGAAAAACCTTCCTTTTACACTTTTCAATCGTCTACTTTTACTGAATACAACTGCTGATTTTAAATTGTATCTGTTTTAGTAAATGAAATGTTTGCAAAACTTATCCTTTAATTTGTAGTGGTAAATTGTATTTTTGTTTTCTTTGATAGTAAATATTTAATAACAATTAGAAACTAGGCTTTATGCACCGAGTATTAAAACCATGACATGTCAAAATTTGTTTTAAAAAGTCGGCAGCCAACCAATTTTCCTGTGCTTCTTTCAGTTTCCATTTCCATAAATTTTCAGTTTATTGTATTCAATAAAAACAAACATAAAATTCATAAATGTACATTTATTCAACATGTAATTAACTATGGAACGGGGAAACAAAAACTAAATCAATATTTACTTACACCTGTCACCCGCATAATGTAAACAAACTAAAACAATGTCGTTATTCAGTGTTTATAGTGAGTTAGAATAGAAGATTGTGGAATTATGAATTAAATGGTTGTTTGCCAGGTCCGGATATCTCATTTATATGAGAGAGATCAATCATGTCCCGGAGATTCATATTCTTGTTGGTGGCAACGGTGGTTATGCTGTATTTCTCGATAATTCTATTTATGTTGAAGCCATTGCACACAGTCCACGGAGACGCGTTTTCGATGCGATTTTCGTTTAGACAAGCGGCTGTTGTCGACTGGTGCAAGCCTTTGCGATGGCGAGAGCCTCCTCGGGACGTGGTGGCTCTTGTGTCCTATCCAGGCAGTGGAAATACTTGGCTTAGATATCTTTTACAACAAGCCACTGGTAAGTTTCAGTTTGGAGGATAGTAATAGAATTATTTTATCACGTCAATTCAAGTTTTGTGCGGATAAGGCTCTGTCGTTTTACGCGGCGATTCCTCCAACATCAGGGTTGGAAGACTGTTATGTTGAGACAATTGACGGTTATTGAAACGTTTTTGGTTGGATCCGAATTGTTCTTATCTTAGTATTTAGTTTGAACAGAATATGTGGTCAGTTTATAGCAATTAATTGCTTGTTAGAGATTTATGTTGTCAAGATTTAAAAATTTATACAGAATTATTAGTGGGGAGTAGGCATTGGCCAATTTTATAAAATTATTGAGAAGTATTGTGATCTTCCTCTGTTTTTTATTGTGGCATGTTTTAGAATAATTAAAGAAATGTAGTTTTTGAGTAAATATGTAAAAAAAGTGGAGTTTTTAAGGTTTTGAAGTCCAACTCCAAATTGGGTTTGAGAACTTGGCAAATGAGGAATGTTTGATGATGAAATCAAAACTTTGCAATGTCTATAATATGGTAACAGCCTGGTGTCCGCAACTCAATGTCCAGGCGCCTATTTTATGTGTACTGGGTGCAATTTCTTCTTTGTCTCAACCAGGCTAGAATGCTTACTATAATAAGTGGGCCAATTTCAAAGTCTCTACATTCTTATTTTTGTTATTATTTCATCACATTTATTACTATTATTAATTTAGGGCCTGTGCAGCTCCTCATCACTACGACCATTAACTGATCTATCGCCGAACCCACATCCACTTCCCATCGTATTCATTTATCACTGTAGTTTTATTCAGTTTGTACAAATAATTAAATACCTGCTTAGATTTTATGATCATTGGGCAATAAATTATTTTGAGTAAATAAATAAAAAAAATTTATTGTGATCGCCACTAGTTAAAGAACCAAGACGATACCAGTATTAAAGAACTGAAGGATTTTCCGGGCTTCGACAGTTTTAATGCCCTCTGGTTGTGGCCTGTGCTATCCCAGTATGAAACCTCATACACACAGCAAGAGGCATTCATTCAGTCTCTATGAAACCCTACTCCAGTGGGAGGTAAATGTAATTACATAGTGACGTTTAGCAAAGAATATTTTAAAAGAGAGTGAAAAACAGTATATTATTGTTAATAAGATTTTATAAGCTATAGTTTGTCATTGGTGATCTATATAAGGATATCAAATAATTGTATTTGTGTTGGTTATGTAATTTTTATTAATATATAATGTTATTTTGAATTTCAAAACATAGATACTCCCCATTTTCAACTTGAAAGGTGTTGGTTGCTAAGAAACTATATGTCTGTACATGACTATAGATATTTCAGAATGGTTTATCAAATTTTCAGGAATAATAACCGGCTCAGTGTATAGAGATCATGGTCTTCAGCTACATGGTTTCCCTGGAGAAGAAGTGACTAACGGCTCTGTGCTAGTTGTAAAAACGCATGAACAAAACTTTATTTGTCAATCTGCCATTATTCTTATACGGAATCCTAGAGATGCTATTCTGGTAAGTATAGAAAGCTATAAAAATAACAAGGCTTTATAATATTTGGGGTGCATGAAAGGAGTCTGCCAGTATAACCACCACTACCATTCCTTTCCTGTCCTCTGGTGCACCCTGGGCAGGAATTGGAGTGTACCTTATGCATATTGGCAAATTGTTTCACCAATGGCAAACATGTCCCCCATTTCAGCATGGTGGCAACTACTGCAATTATTGAGTATGGGTACGATAAGAGAAAAAGTATAAAAGTAGTTAAATTTTTTAACTGCATCTTTGAAGATTATGTGAAGGATGTAAGTTACAATTTTCAACAAAGAATTTTGACAATTTAATTAAATATAATAAATTTAATTGCATTAGTCCATTGTATGTGTAAAGAAAGTGTGTGGTCTGTGAAGGTAACAGCATGAATGTGGGTGTAGGTCAGTTGGTTAAGTATGGCCCCAGCTTGGCTACAGACATTGATTCGAGTCCAGTCACATTGAAGGAATTTTTCTCTGTGTTGTTTTATCTTTGTTTCAATAATAAACAACAAAATAGTAATCATCATGATATTCAATAAGTAAATATAGCACAAATGCTTTCTTGGAATTATGCATCTTATTGGCATGGCCTCTTATATTTCTGAAGGCTTTTTCCTTACTGAGCAAGAGAAGCAAATGGAACAATATGAAAAATTATTCATAATTATTTATGAATATCTTTGTTTGTAGATTATGAAGTCCTATCAATAATGGCAAACAAGGACATATAGGGACTGAATAGAAATTAAAAACTGATCACGTTTTTCAAATATAACGAATTTAATAATGGAAATATGTTTACCATTATGTAAAACTAGTAGTATGCTTATTACTTCACCAATAAATGTTTCTTACATGGCTTTTTTACAAAAGATAATAATTTTCTTTGTTGTACTTTCGTGTCAGCACTTTTTAGGTCAGTACTTGGTAGTAAAGTAGTAAGTTCACACACGCGAGTTTCCTCCCCAGCAACAACCACATGCGCTGTTGCTTTTTGCACAGAGTTATCACCGTTTAAAACTATCTATATATTTATATCTATATAATACTTTTATTTTTGTACGAAAATAAACTCGAAGAGGATATCTCAGGTCTCAGGACAAACCTTGTCGCTCTCTTGTTAAGTCCCAGTTATCTTTTCCTTTCTTCAATTCCGGTTTTTATTCACACTCCTTCACTGTTCATGCGATCAGACTTTGAAACACACTTTCTGTTTCTTTTCACAAAATCACATCGTTAGCTACTTTTAAATTGAGAGTTAAGAAGCATTATTTATCTACTGTTCCATCCTTTTTATAGGTATTATATTATCTAAGTATTTATCTAGTTTATAATAGTTTAATGTTATTAATATTGTATTACGCAATTTTGTCTTTTGTGCACGTAATGCGTAAGCCCATTATGGTAGTTATTTTGCCCTGTATTTAGGTCTGCAGGAAGAAATTTCTTACAGAAATAAGCAGTACCTTTTGTATGTATTTTCTTTTCCTTTTATTAAATGTAACCTGTGGCTCTGTAATCGTATCAAGACCACGAACCGGAAGGCGTTCAGTGGGACGGCCCGCTACTAGATGGACGGATGACCTAGTAAGGACGACGGGTAACTGATAGATGTATGTTGCGTTTGGCAATCTTTGGGGGAGGCCTATGTTCAGCAGTGGACATCTTCCGGCTGATATGATGATGATGAATCTGTGCCCTTTCCTGTGCAATAAATAAATAATAAAAATAATTATAAAATGTAAGGAAACGTACATATCAGGCGAATGCGCCAGTGTGAAAGGTTCACGATGTACATCCGTTCGCGCATCTCTCGCGCACCACATATGCTTGCTTGCATACAGAGGCGCACTTAACAGCTCGCGTGGATTATTAAAAGTATTGGAGCAGACGTTATTTGATAGTAATATAGTGCTGCGAGATTGTTAGTATTTTACAAAATAACCCTAGTATGTTATAAGGCCTTATGTTATTTTTAATTACATATTTGTTCGCACTGAAGTGCCTATTTGATTTTCGTATTCTTTCAATATAAATTTCAGGCTGAATTTCACAGACTCTGGAGAGGACATATAGGAACAGCACCAAAATCAGTTTTTCAAAAACGTATTAGGAGTACAAATTCAAGAATAAAAAATAAAGAGTCTACATCATCTAAAGGTATGGAATTTATTTTAAAATCAAACTAGTTTATTAGCTCATGTGAACCATAGTTAATGACTTAGAGAGGCATATAGAAATCAAAAGTCGCAACTGAATAAAAAGGTATACTATGACATAATAAAACTGTAATTTATTAATATAAAAACGAACACTAAATAAATTATCCTTCGATCCGGCTGAATTCGAACCAACGTCTTCCAGCAAACCAAACCAGAAAAATTCGTAGGGTCCGCACCTTAAGAATTTTTGTATGGGCTTGTTGCAGATCTTTAGTTTTTGGATTTTAACGACCTTTTTGCCATAGCGCAATGTTGGCCTTTTCGAATATTATTACAGTCGTATCGCGGGTTTATTGTTACCATCTATGGATCATCATTAGGGATCAAAATAAACGTCTGAATAAGTAGAATTACGAGTGCGACATTTCTTTGTATGATATTGCATGTCTGTACTTGTGTAGTGTGTATATGTGCTGTTTTCAGGTGCACGGCGTGAACATCCAGAATGGTTATACCACTTTAAAACGCAGTTGAGATCGTGGGAGTCGCTCCATTTAACTTGGCTGACCAATTTCCTCGGCCCCATCCACATAGTTTTCTACGATCAATTGGTCAAAGATACCAGGAACATACTCATGGGAATACTTGACTTTTTGAACAACACAGTGACTGAGGTATGATGTTAATTCAACAATTTAGTATATGTATAATTAACTATAATATAACATAAAAAAACTAGTGGAGCAATTTCACAAAAAAAATTGAATATCATTGTAGTAATACTGATGTCTTATGATATTTGTGACGATGTACATTCAATTAAAACTTGAAAATTACAATGATTAAAGCGTCATCTTTAGTCAGCATCAAAAAATGAGATAAACCAAACGGTTCCTAAAGTCTGACCTCTTAAATCAGCAAAAAAATCCAACATAAATAAATATCTCAGGAGTTACATGAGATTATAAATTTTGAAAATCAAACAACAGTGAGAAATACTTTTAAACTTCAAACTGTGTTGGAAGTTGTGTTGTGTGTGTGTGTGTGTGTTGTTCTCGAAAGTGACTGAATCTGCATTGGCTCCCTGTTTAACTACGTCCAATTATAACAAATTATTTTAAACTTAAGTCCATTCGCACAAAGTTTTAATATTGAATTTTTTTCTTCTTCCAGGATGATCTATACTGTGCATTAATGCATAAAGAAGGCATTTACCGTCGCCGCAACAAGCTCCAGAACTTCGATCCCTATTCACCTCAAATGTATGAACAGCTGAAAGTTGTCAAAACAAAAGTGTACAATTTAGTCAATGATTACAAGAAGAAGCATAATTCTACCAAAAAACAAAGGGTAACTAGTAATTAAAAACTAATATTTAACAGTTGATATAACCTCAATTGGAAGTCCCGTTTTGTTCTGGACCCCTTATAAGAGCATATACGCACAGGACTCAAAATATTTGAACGTAGCGCTTTCAACTTCCAACCTGATAGAATTTTTATATATTTTAATCATCGAGTATATAGCCAGAAATAGAGACGAAATGTCAATTAATTTGTTTGAAAACTATTCTGCCATATCATTACTGTGACAACTGCGCTCCGATTGGCCAGCCCGAGTTCGAAACAATTGACGGGTGTCGTCAACTGTTTCACTTCAAATCGACCATTTAACTTGAGCTTTGCTATAATGGACGAAAATTGCAAAATTACATATTTAATATTTAATTACCGACGAAATGTGATTCCGTTTGTGACACCACCGAATAGAACAGCACGGCATTGTTAGAGATATTATCTTTATTACAATCAATACAGAATATTTTTTGGAATATACGGAGAACACACAGGTTGTTGATATTTACAACACGGGAGTTGATATTTATAAGAGCTGTATCGCTAATGTGTTACCAGGAATATATGGCCCTTATTTCGTCTTTATTTCTTGTTATATATTCGATGATTTTAATTATCTGAATGTATGCCATACATTATGTGTTATCTTATAACTGGCAAATATTTTAAAACTTTGTGCAATCTACTGCCTTAACAAGTTATTGCTTTAGCGCATTTGCGCATTGCATCCGATTCGTATTCGTTCCGAAACCGAGTCTATACAAATGTAGAAACCTCGGACCCACATCGGATGTCGCTTGTGCACTACGTCAGGGGGTCTACTCTCGATCTCCGTCTGACATCCGTCCGAAACAATTACTGCCAAATAAGCAATACTTGACCAAATGAAAAGACGCGTGATGCGAATGAAGCTCCATACTGGATACTTGTCTTTTAATTTTGTCGAATATTACTTATTTGACAGTAATTGTTTCGGACGGAGATCGAGAGTAGACCCCCTGATACGAATCGGACGTAGTGGCGAAAACGCACTTAGGACGCGTTAAAATTAGACACGTATAGTGCCGCTGCAGCTAATACTAATTTTCATTCAATATTTAGAAGCGCAGTTGCAGCCCCTTTTAGATTTTTATATTTTATAAACTGGATCGCGCACTTCGATATACCAATATTACAAATTTACACCTTATTGGGTTATGTTAAGGTTTATTTTAAGTAACAGTAAAAAACCGAGTCACGTGAGATAGCTCGAAGTAGTGGTCTATCCTTGTCTAACAAGTTGCCAACGCTAAATACGTCTTAGGTAGAAGACTAGACATAGTCTATTAACTTTTTTTAATTTTGGTTAAATAAAATTAGCTTAAAGGTAATATGCTTTTACTGTAATAATACAAAAAAATATATCAACAATGAAACTTTCTATTACGAAGAAGCATATCAAATAAATACACTAATTCTGTGTTATGGAATAATATTAGAAGTTTTGTTCACCCATGAGCGGTCACATTTTCTGTAAAAATTTAATAAATTTTAACAAATACGTATTAAGTAAGGGTTCTCAAGACATGTACTGAAATAAAATAATAACAATAAATAGTATAAATAAATATTTAATTAGCATTCTCAATAACCAACATTGAAGACACAACTTTGATATTTCTTTTATTTCTAGTAAGTATTCTTAATAATAATAGGAATTATTAGTCTTATATACTATAACCTAACCTCCGGTTAAAAAAACCGACCTCAAAAGTTATTCATCCCCTAGTTTGCCACCCTTAGAGGTGGAATATTTTCTTGAAATTTATATGGGACCACATCGGCGGTACCTCCTTTCCAATAAAATAGAATCATCAAAATTGGTTCAAAAATGGCGGAGTTATCGCGTAACATACATACAAAAGAAAAAAAAACATACAGACGAATTGAGAACCTCCTCCTTTTTTTGAAGACGGTTAAAAAGTAAAAACAATATGGCTGGCTGAAACATGAATGAACACCCTGTTAGAAAGAGACGCATTACTTCGTTGAAGGCTCTCACTCGGCTCGTTTTATTAACATAGTGCGCGGTCCTGTTTAATATACAAGTCCGTGTACTTCCTGGACTCTTTTATTTTTTAATTTTAGTGAAGCGACGTGCTGTTTAGCTCCGACATTTATCGAGTGAACTGATTATGTAACGAAAATTGGTACTTGTCTAACAAATTCTTATTGTTTAATATAATGAATCGTCAGATTCTTCTCCATATGGACGGGAATCATCACTGGAATCCTCATAAACATTAGTTATTAATTCTTGAACACACAAATTTTCAAACGCAATACCATGATCCCAATCAAACAATATCTTTTGGAGCTGTCTAAAGTTAAATAAATGGTTGGATAGAGTATGCAAGAGTCAAAGAGTTTGTAGGCGCCCTTAGAGATCTTGTTGACTGCCTTACTAGGTACTCCGTAAAATATCACTGCTCTCTGTCAAAAGGGTGATAATTTTTACCCTTAAATCAATAGTTTTGGTCAAATGTTTTTAATTGCATCTGGGCTTATACAATGTGTGGTACATAGTATAGGTGAAAGTCCACTTGTTACCTTAACTTACCTAATTAATAGTCTCGAATGGCCTAGACATATCTTGGTTTAAAATGTTAGGTTAACATTTAATTTATTAATTTTTGATAAAATTTTACTTCATGACGGGTATTTTTCTAATTATATTTTTATAGGACTTAAGGGTGTAGAACATTTTTTAAGTAAGTTTTTTTATTTAAACTAACGATCTCTATTAGATAAGTGGTTTTTTTTTTAACCTTTTTAGATTATTTATATTTGACTACGTGTTGTGCTACTATCATAGTATATTTAGAGTACTTGAATGTATACAAAAAATTAACCGCTTTGATGAGCAAACAAACTTAAAACAATTTGACAATCCTGCTGGCAAAGTTGATGGGAACAAATTTGTTCGCCAGGAAAGATTTATCAATCGACTTATTGACAATATATTATGACTATAGTTCCTTGCTACAACGAGTTCTCCCACTTTTATGGTACCTAACAATTTCATATTTGTAAGTAACTTGTAACATTTCGTATTTATAAGTAACTTGAATACTAGTATAGTGTCCAACTATAGTTTGTCTTTTTTGAAGACGGAGTAATATGACATTTGTAGGGTTGCCAGTTTCATAAAATTTTAAATAGTTATGTAGTTGTTATCGATAGATTGTGAAAGAAGATAAAATTTTGAAAAAAATACTGAATTGTGAGAGTTACGACGTTCTAATATTCACTAATTGCATTATATCTTGCATATAGTCTTATTTTGAAAATTGGTGTTTGAGTGTCGAGATAAATTTTTATTCAAATACATTTTAACAAGAATAGCCGGGTTGGATTATCTATATTGAATTAAAATGACAAAATTTAAAATATGTCTCCAATTAGTTTTTTCATTAACATTGTTCTAAATACAGTGTATATAAATGTATGAACTTACAAAAATTGATGATTCAAATGAAACAAGTTCGGCTATTTATTCTATAAGCATGACCAATATTCAGTCATTAGTCGATAGAATATCTATCGACTGTAATCACTAGCTGCTCGCAAGCGGGCCCCACTTTTGCGCAATTAACTGTCATTTTACACTGTCTTTAAAAAAGACAGGCTATAGGGCATTGATGTAAGGAAAATAATGGATCTAAATTAAATAATCCTGGAACCAAAACAGCTGCTTCGCAAACTAAACTAAATTATATTTTTTATCTTATCATACTAGTATACAAGTTATTTGTACTTGTCAATGGAAATACTAAATTTGCTATGCAGGTTGTAGTCGTTAAGTGTCACCAGGCGATTTTTCCGTAAATATAACAGATATCAAAAACCTTCAAATTGATATCGAAAGAACGTTATCTAAAGAGTAAACCGCCACCAATAGCTTTTTAAAAATAAATAACTAGAAATATCCAAGATTTTAATGTTGAAAGTTTCTATACATTTCATATGACATTTGTACAGAGGCTCTAGTTTCGAACAACTATTTTTAATACAAAATTTTGTATTGCTTCAAAATAAACATCACGTTGTGGTTATTCGATTAAAAGTTGGTTTTACTTGTTTATAACAGTTTCCTTATTTGTAAACTTATTGTTACCTCTTATAGCTCAACTAAAGCCCCTCTACGAATGTCATATGAATTGTACGGGGGCGTTTAGCGTTAAAATTTTGGATATTTCTAGTTTGTTTTTTATTATTTACTTACTTTAGATATCAGTTTGAAGGTTTTCGATATCTGTTATACTTGCGGAATAACCGCCTCTACATACTTAATGGTTACAACCTGTATACGAACATTTATTTTTTAATTCAGTGTTTGAATTAATATTTATTTGTTAAAAAAATCATTGGTCATTCAGACCTGGGTGTTATATACTCTTTTTACAAATTAATATGCTCAAATAATTTATTGTTGTTAAACATTATTATTTATTTATTGTATAGATGAATATGTAGTTAGATACATTTACATTACAGGGCTTTATTATACATAATGCCTACCTAATGTAGACGCATAACGCCAAAGTTATAATTATGTTCCATGGCAGCACGGGTTCCACGGGTTTTTTTTTCTCATACAGTCTGTTAAATAGTAAATGTAAATAATGTAGTACTGAGCATGTGTATAGTTTTCTTTTATGTTTAAGTTTAGATATAATGAATAAATGTTTCCTAGTCAAGAATAGTCTTAAGCAAAACACAGTGAAAGTAATTATAAAAACGTTGAATATACTGTAAAATTAATATTATGTCCAAAGAAGAGGGTGAATAAATACTCAAGGATTTGACAGATATATTTTGATCTCGCTATTTTGTCTCACTATTTAAAAAAAGGACAGCAGAAGTCACCGTAGCTTGCTAGCTACGGTAGGATTATGGTGACTGACATCAATTAAGGGAAGCGTATACCCAGCAGTAGGTGAAGTCGTGATTTCATTCTTTTCTTAACCTTGAAGCATGATTTTTTCTATTCACCCCGTTTTTTAATCATACCTTTGTATTTTTTGTTGAACAAGATCAACTATTATTTTACCTAGTATTGTTTTGCGATTTTCAATGTTGTTAAATAAAACTATAAAAATAATTTATCATGTCTATAATTTTCTTTTACATTGCTGTTGTTTTAGTTGCAGATTCTAAATTATACAAATTATTTTA